ATATTGCACGACCGTGTTGCCTTATACAAACAATGTCTGCGTAACCTCGAGGGCGTCTTTTTACTACAAACAGTTCTTAATATTATATTCGTGTAGCTTCATTACTTAATTTATAGAACTCATTAATTAAATAATATAATGCTCGCCATAATATAATGCTGGCGGCATCCGTTTTTGCGTATTTGATTGTAGTGAACGAATCTCATTTCAAGCGTAAAATCATTAGGAGCAGTCTACGAAAATTGTTCTGCGCATGCTCCGTTTCAAAAATACGACTTAACTTAAACGAAAAATTAACATCGAAGTGAACAAATCGGGTACAAAGAAGAAAAAACGGAAAATATCATGATTTACGTTACTTAGCCCTACGTGGATGTTTCATTCCGTTTCAATCTTTTAAATTGTATAAATCGATTACTGTATTGTTTTCTGATTTCATGTTCGGATAAATAGTAACAGTGAATTTTACGGGTGCACTTATTATATGACCGAGTGAACCGTGCACCGACAATTAGCCGCTCCTTAAACTTTTGAACCGGTATGACTAAATAACGGAACGGAGATTTTTTGGCGGAAATGGCACACATTTTACTCAAGATTTTCCTCAAATATTGTGGTTGGAGGCACGCACCTTTATAAATTGTTTATTTAAATCAAATGATATAAACATTTTTTATGTAAATCTGGGACTTAAAATTGTAAAATTGTTTGAATTAACAAACTTTTTGCCCGTTTTGGAAAATGTAGAGGAAATGTTTCCATATACTTACCAAAACATTAACCGAAAATGTGCTTATTGAATTTTATTAGTTCTAAACTTTTATTGAGATACTGCCTTAATTATGTCTAATATACATGTGTATATAATTTATTTTTAAATTTAGTTTGATGACATAACATAAATTGTTCCCTTTTAGAAAAAGTATCCCTAATGTGCCAAGAAAAAAGTCCATTTCTCCGGCATATAATCATTCAAACATTAAAAAAATGAAGTGTAAAACAAACTTTCATTATGATACTATATTCAATATATATTGTTAAATAATTGTAACTTTATAAGCATTCATTGTGTCTTTTATGCAAAAATATCCCAAAATTTTTTCGAATTAAACAAATCTTCCACAGCAGCAAACTAGTTTGAATCATGGGATAGAACACTTAGCATACTAAGCCCCGCCTAAGTAAGCACGAATGTCTGATAAAGCGTTATCATCTTGATTAAACTAGACTATAGTGTAGTGGAAGGGATCAGCTTCCCTGTGAATGTCACTTGTAAATAGTGCATATGCTTAATCCTCCTTATAAATGTATATGTAATATTGGAAATAGATTTTAAAGTCTTCAGGACATGCAACCGTATAGAGGATATTGGAATGAGTGTAGGTTTAATACTAAATTTATTGAACTCGTTGAATAAAACAATATTATGCGAGCCTCTATTGACGCGCTAACATTAGCGCGCTTCAACGCTATGTTTATAGATCTACGTTGCGTCAAAGTGTTTTTACACTAGTGTAATATTGTTTTTATTAAATAGAGGATATTGAATGAGTGTAGGGTTTAATACTAAATTTATTGAAAGAGTTGAATAAAATTATATTATGCGAGCCCGGGCTTTGACTTGCCCGGCTATACGTCTACACGTGAAAATCAAATAAAAACAATTATATATAAAAATATATATAGAATTCTATACATATCAATGAAATTTTCAGTGTCAGTTCTAGCTAAGCTCCGCCATTTACAATGTAACTCATTTTATTATATGATCTAAATATAGCTGCAATCTCATTGCGTCCAAACAGTAGTCAACAGAACTTTTATAAAATCATATTTACTGGGTGTAGTATCATATTCACTGGCTGAATCGGATTTTCCCAGTCTAAAATAAAGATTGAGGATCATACACCGTAGACTGTTAATAACTCGTGTTGATTAAAAATAATTGTTGCTTTTTGTTCTTTATGCATATTTCTCGATTAAAATATCGTTACTTTTTACTATTATACTTAAAGGCTACACCGCAATGATGAGTATAAAACTTGAATTACTTTTGTATGCGCAGCGTTCGCGTAATCGTTGGACGCCTTACACGTGCGTCTTTTTTTTCCACGCTCCAACGAGGCAAAATTTGTACATGTATATAATGTTGTACTTTTTGTGATTTTTTTATTTCTTAGCCTATTCATATAATAAAACAATTATTGACTAAGTGAGCCATTGAATATGATGTGATATTCACCGGCAGAAAGTCATATTGACCTCGGCTATCGCCTCGGTCAATATGTCATCTGCCGGTGAATATCACATCATATTCAATGGCTCACTAGTCAATAATTGTATAGTAAAAGGCGATGTATTCCGATAACGGAACAAATCTCAACTTTTCTGATTAATAATAATCGTCGAGTGTTCCGAGTGAAAACGGAAGCGGGTACATGTAATACCGAATGACACTTTTAAAACGGAAAAATGAAAGGATTTTTTTACCGACTTCTCCGTTCATAGGCTTTGCCTAATTTCATATTACACGTCATACATGTTATCTAAGAGCGCTACAGCCCTCGCGGGGCATTCGGCCTCGTTCGGACTTTCCGGGTATGAATATTTTTTATTTTCTACTTTTTCAATCTGTTTTTTTTAAATTTTGTTTTTTTAGTCTGATGCTGATTTTTTTTTAAAAATAAGTCAGTGTTCATGTTATTTACTTTTTTGTTCACATTTGTTACAATCTCACGAATGTGTTTCCTATTCTAATTAAAATCTGGGACCAAAAATATATTATTATTCCAATTAAAATATACAAACCAGGGTATAATTTTTTTTAACTAACGCAGAGATATAGATAAATCTACATCTCTGATAAACGTTATTGCTATGACAAAACTGGTAATATCTTTTTCGAGATACTATTTGATGCATTCTGAATCAAAGGCCTAACTTGTGTGCAAGATTTCAGATTATTCGCTCACTCCATTTTTTCAGTATAAGTGCAAAATGACCCTAAAATGAAAAGTGGTTAAACGTTTTAAACCCAAATCGGACAAGAATTACACAAAATCGCGGATTTATAATATTATATTACATTGTAATTAAGATCCGTGACAAAATAGAATTTATATCTAAATCAAATCAGAGTATAAATATTCATTATATACCTATAAATTAAATATTGAGAAATATTAATGAAATAAAAATGCTTATTTTCATTTTCGTATTTTCACTGTAAAAAAGTATTTTAGTGAAACATATTTTCCGTGTTTTCACTGGTGTCTTGCCGGACTACTTTCTTTTAAATTCTGCCAGTACACAAAATTTAAGGATTTAAAAATAGAGACAAATGTACATAATAAACAGAAAATTCAATTTTTTTTTCTATAAATACATGATTTATTTTCATCTTGTGGCATGAAAATTATCACATTTCACTCTTGGCTACCGCCACTCATGAAATATTTATTTTCATACTACTTGATAAAAATAAATGATGTTTTTACAGGAAAAAAAACTTGAATATCCTCTATATATTTTTAAGATCTTTTGCATATTTGTCTGTTTTAAATGTACATGCAGTTTATCTATGTAAGAATGTATTTTTTTATGTGTTTAGGTTTTAGGACCTCTGTGGAGCTCCTTTAATTAAATACCTTAACAAACTTATATAATATAAACCGTTTTTAACTTTAAGGTCCCAGCTTTTTTCAATATTTCATTTTGTTGTTCTTGCGTCTTAATGCTCGAACGACGAATAAAACTGTTTCGCGCATGTCACGTGATGGTGTGCCAACCACGTTAACTTTATGGTCCTTCCGAATAATCCAGGCGGGGAACAATAGTTTTATATAAATACATAACAAATTGAATCGTGTGACTGAAAAGAGATCAGAACATGTTTTGCTGGCGTCTTTAACGGATTAGTTTAGTAAATTTTTTTTGGTGAGAATCAATCAGTGGTTAAACATGCAAGATTGTCCTGGAGCGCTTAAGATTCAAGGTCGAGTGATTTTCCATGCACTTTACTGTTAGCTACATTTGCGTAAAGTTTGTGAGAGGCATGTGATGGGAGGTTTGGAATTGTTTTTTTTTATTTTAGGACGTCGAAGAACTAAGTATCAATAAAATTTGTAAGTTGCTTTATATTTTATTAAAACTATATAGCCGAAACGTAATATTATTACACATGAAAATCGGGAAAGCGTTACTGTTTTTTTTAAGGAAAAAATGTAAATATTTCACAGAAAATCCGGCAAATGTTATTGTACCACATAAAATTTGTAAATTATCAAATATTTTTCGTAGGTACAATTTGTTTGACCTAAAGTTAAATTTTCCATGAATAAGAACTTTAATTATAAATTGGCATTAATCATAAGAATTATACATGTTAAACTTTTAATTTTTCATGTGACGTTTCTATTATAGTTAACGGTATTTTTACCATTATGATCATTATTCATATTTACTTACCATTGTAGCCATCTATACTAAATTAAAGTGGTAGCAAAGGGCAAATTACTGGTTTCATGTTGAAAACCAGATAATACAATAGCTAACATATGATTTTTTAACAAAACATTGTCATAGATAATTGGCTTATGATATAAAACAAAATACAGATATGAATAATTGATAGTTGGCATATGAGATCTAACAAGGTATTGACACGGATGATTGACGTGTGATATGTAAAAATGATGGCCATGTTGATGACAATGTTGTTGTTTATGGTAATGTTGATGAGGACGTCCATGGGTGTAACAATGATGATGAAATGACGTTGTTCAAGGTAGTGAGCAATCATCAGGTAAATCTAGTTATTTATAGAAACTAGCTTTTTTAGAAACTAGTTATTTTTAGACAAATGAGTTTTAACTTTTCAGCGTAAGTTTTATCAGTTTCAGAAGATGAAATTTCAAAAGGAACCAATGAACTTGCAAGTAATCATACTATATCGGGCCATGCTTGTGGAACAAGGACAGCACACATTATGCAACGTAAAAACAGCATACTTATTTAATTCAATTTACATTTGGAAAATTTGACATTATAAGAAATTTGATATACATATATACATGTAAATGGTATTATGTCAGTAACTGAAATTGCGTAGAATTACAAAATTTTATTTTAGAAATGAAGATTTTTTTTTCAAAATTGAAAACTATGTTTTATGTTTATGTATATTGACGATATTTTGTGTGCATTGTTTATATCGATTTTGGTTGTTTTGGTTTCTTTCTCAAATTTTTGGAGTTGGTGTGTGATTGGGGTTATTCGATTTGGGTTCGGTGTTTTAGTTTGTCTCTTTGTGGGAGTTGTTTATGTGTGTTATGGTAGTTTTTCTTTGTCTTTGTTGGAGTTGTTAATGTCATTTGTGTGTTATGGTAGTTTTTCTTTGTCGAAAATTCAGGCCTTATTTCTGAATAGTTTGGGAATTGGTGGTCGATAAGACAGTTGATTCTTTGCTGATACATTGTGATCGATTTGAAAATTTTGGATTTTGTTATACTAGTCGAATTATTATTATTCATCATTTCAAATAGTTATATCAATTTCATTAGAAATGGGAGACACATTTATAGTTATATTGAATTTTTAGATGTACAATACCCAATTTTGTATAATTATATTGATGTTTAATATGAGTAATGTGATATTTTTGATAATTATATAAATATATAGGTGGAGAATGCGAAAAATATATTAAAGATAACATTGATTCTTTTCGATTTAGAACGTGACATTTTTGGGTGTTGAATGCGACATTTTTAACAATTATATATACTGATTATTTTAGATGCAGAATGCGACATTTTAGACTAGTATAATATTATTGTTCTTTGGTTTTTCGTTTGTTTTCAGATGGCGTAAGAAAACATCACTGGATTACTTTTGAAAGACAAAACTAGATAAAATTGTATATTTCTAAATATTACCACTATATATTTCAGACTATTGTTCGATTGATGGTAAAAAAATGTTTATTGATCATTGAGCAGACGTAAAGCAGGAAATGGCGGGAAGAATCCTAGCAGACGACAGTTGTCGCGCAGATGCAATCATGCACCATATCAGACTGCCCGAAATTACAGGCTGGCCTAGCTCTATACTGGACTCGCTTTCAGCAGGTTAGGGTTTTGAAAAAGGAAATCATAACTTTGTAATGTATGTCTTGTTTACTTTTTGAAAAATAAACTTTCGTGTCAATGTAATAATTATGTTGACATATCATTATTGTCTAATGTTTCATAATGAACCATTTTTAGCCCAACTGTTTGAAAAACGAGTAAGGGCTATTTTAGTCACTTGGTCGTCTGTTCTTGTAAAACACTTCGTTTTGCATATGTTTTGTGTGTAACTTCCTACCTCAGAATTCATTATGATTGTGTAACGGGGAACATAATCTAAACACCTTTAACTTTAAACTAGATTTTGATTTATATAATTACATGTATGCCACTTAGTTAACTTGATTTAAAGCAGTCATGTTTAAAATAATAATTTAAGTTTACAATATATTCTTATCAAATGAGCATAATAATGCTGAGTTATGGGTCATTAAGAACATTTCAGTAATTTAAACAAATAACTTATAATCTTAGTTACAATTATTTTTAAAATGCTAAAAAATGTAACATTTGTTCGACCATGTTACCAATAGTGTATCCACAGGTAGCAGACGACAATAAATTTTAAAGTGGAAATTTGCGACTTCCGGTGTGTCTGCTACTCGATGTTGTGATCTCAGTTACTTCCCCTGACGTTCAGTATATGAAATGAGGGTCGAGGTAAGATATTTTGAAGAAATACAAATTTTAGCTAAACATAGAACAATACATTTTACAGATAAGGGTTTGTGAGTCGCTGATTACACCTTTAACTCTGCAAAATATTTTAAATGGACTTGCCCATCTTCAAATCTGGACAAAACCATTACTCATTTTAAGGGAAAATTTCAAAATATGTACTGACTTAATATCGAATAGTGCAGATCATGAGCAGATGTCAAGGATATGCCGACTGATTTTGGTCTGCACTGGTCGCACGGGTACATGTATATTATGTTGGCACTAGAAGGCTGAGAGTTAATCAACATATTGTACCACACAAAATAATCAGAAAGTACTGATTACAGTTCATTAATAATGACAACTTTTAATTTGGTACAATGTTTGTATTTTGAAAGCATGTTAATTTCAGATGGAACATGACTTTTTGTAATTATTGTTGCTTTTCTAGAAAAAAAAATGAACTGAACATAATATAAAGAACTATTCTTTCCGAGATCACTCGCTTCCTTAAAGTATTACAATCTAAATACAAAAAAATATACATTCAATAACTTAATTCACGAATAGGTAAAAAATATCGGCACTACATTAGTGATTGTGCCGAAGAAAGGGAGAAGAAATGGTGGGAAGAATCCTAGCAGACGACAGTTGTCGCGCAGATGCAATCATGCACCATATCAGACTGCCCGAAATTACAGGCTGGCCTAGCTCTATACTGGACTCGCTGTCAGCAGGTTAGGGTTTTGAAAAAGGAAATCATTACTTTGTAATGTATGTCTTGTTTACTTTTTGAAAAATAAACTTTCGTGTCAAAGTAATAATTATGTTGACATATCATTATTGTCTAATGTTTCATAATGAACCATTTTTAGCCCAACTGTTTGAAAAACGAGTAAGGGCTATTTCAGTCACTTGGTCGTCTGTTCTTGTAAAACACTTCGTTTTGCATATGTTTTATGTGTAACTTTCTACCTCAGAATTCATTATGATTGTGTAACGGGGAACATAATCTAAACACGTTCAACTTTAAACTAAATTATGATTTATATAATTACATGTATGCCACTTGATTTAAAGCAGTCATGTTTAAAATAATGATATATAAGTTTACAATATATTCTTATCAAATGAGCATACTGTAATACTGCTGTGTTATGGGTCATTAAGAACATATCAGTAATTTAAACAAATAACTTATAACCTTAGTGAAAATTATTTTTTAAATGCTAAAAAATGTAACATTTGTTCGACCATGTTACCAATTGTGTATCCACAGGTAGCAGACGAGTGGAAATTTGCGACTTCCGGTGTGTCTGCTACTCGATGTTGTGATCTCAGTTACTTCCCCTGACGTTCAGTAGATGAAATGAGGTTCGAGGTAAGATATTTTGAAGAAATACAAATTTTAGCTACACATAGAACAATACATTTTACAGCTAAGGTTTTGTGAGTCGCTGATTACACCTTTAACTCTGCAAATATTTTAAATGGACTTGCCCATCTTCAAATCTGGACAAATTTAAACCATTACTCATTTTAAGAGAAAATTTCAAAATACATGTATGTACTGACTTAATATCGAATAGTGCAGATCATGAACAGATGTCAAGGATATGCAAAGTGATTTTGGTTTGCACTGGTCGCTCAGGTACATGTATATTATGTTGGCACTAGAAGGCTGAGAGTTAATCAACATATTGTACCACACAAAATACTAGTAATCAGAAAGTACTGATTACAGTTCATTAATAATGACAACTTTTAATTTGGTACAATGTTTGTATTTTGAAAGCATGTTAATTTCAAATGGATCATGACTTTTTGTAATTTTTGTTGCTTTTCTAGAAAAAAATGAACTGAACATAATATAAAGAACTAGTCTTTCCGAGATTGCTCGCTTCCTTAAAGTATTACAATCTAAATACAAAAAAAATACACATTCAATAACTTTATTCACGAATAGGTCAAAATATCGGCACTACATTAGTGATTGTGTCGGAGGAGGGGAGATAATTATGAATGTATTACAAATAAGGGAGATAAAAATATCCCTTATTATAATTATACTATAAAATATCATAATTATTTCTAATGCATAATGTGTGTTTTGTAATGAACTGGTGACTTTGATTGTGGCACTCCGATAACATCTTAATTTTCAATCTATAAATAGATATTTTTTTTAACCTATATTTCAATTTCAGGATTTGAAATTAGGAAAGAACGAAAGATATGAAATGAGCACCGGCAAACTGATCTTGGCATGTTACATCCTTATCACAGAACTGGAACCTTCTGATTAAGATGAGGTAATAGTAGGTTTTATGAATATATGTAAAGATTTGTTTCTAAGCCTGCTGAAAGCGAAAGTCATTAGTCTTTGCCTCCAGAATAGAGCCCGGCCAGCCTGCACATTTGTGCAGTTTGACCAGCCTCTTTACTGTTTGCTTACTTCCAATTTTCATTTTCATGTGATAATTAGTTATAATAATTTATAATGGACTGTTCCTTAAATAAAATATGGAAAAGTTCATTGAATAATTTCAGCAGGTTAAAGCAGCATGCCTCCAGTCTTAATGTAAATTTTGAAAATGTATCTAAAAGAAAAATATAGTGTAGTGAACAAGGAAAGTAATTAACACATTACAAACAGCATTTACAGTCTACTTAAATTACCAAAAAGGCCAAAATATACAATGATAGCCATTACTGCGTTAGTCACGCAGTAGAAATATGGTAATAAGTACTGCGACTTCGGTCGTTAAAGACATTTAGCACTTAAATAATTACTTGAATCTTAAATATTTTTACTTCTCTTAAAATCTGAGTATATTTTTTTTGTTTTTCTTGAAATATTTTTGGTTCATTTGGAGGCATGCAGCTTTAAGGCTTGTTTAAAGCTCTTGAATGAGACGTGTATTCATTTGGTCCTGAAACAGTACAGCATTGTGAAAATTGTTTCTTGATCGGGTTTGATAATTTTTTTTTCTTTGCTTAACACAGAAGCAGTTACCTTTGTTGTTGTTATTAAGTCATGAATTGCTTTGGCCGAGTAAATACACGTACAACTACACTGGTATCGAACATTTTTATTCATTATTCAAATATGATAAAACTTTTTAAAGTTTTAGTTATAATAAAGGGCGTCCGTTACCGAGTGTTTGAATAAATTCATTGACTTCAAATCATTTCCCCCTTTTCTTTCACTATTATGGGCAGCGACTTTGAATTCATGAATAGTTTCATGTGCAGAAATGATCCACAGAGGTGATCCACAGCTAGCTAAATTGGCAGAGAAAATTGGTGGTTCTACTCGAGTGCCCCACCCTGTCTAAAATTATTTATAGAGGGCTATTTTGGACCTTCTTCCGCCAGTAAAGCGGAAAAATTTATTATTGTTTTTTATAAGTATCGTCGAGACAGTATCCATTCACCTACTAAATTAGTGTAATGGATCTGCCCTGCATTGAATTTGGAACAGTCCATTTGAAGTTTATGGAATTTCAATAACAAAATACAAATTTGAGCAGACAATAATAAATATAGCCTGGGCACGCAGTGCACGGACCATTATTGGTAAAGGGTTAAACCCAACCAGAATAATTGAACCATTGCAGTTAATAATATACTAGAAATAATAAGAGAATCGTCTAATGACATCAAGTGAATAAAAGCTTTATGACCACTATCTGAGTAAGACGTAATTATTTATTTGTGTATTCCTGAATTCTATTATGTGCACTTTTGAATAAGAGTAATGATAACATTTTTTTTTTAAAAATTTGGTGGTTCAACCCGTGCGTCTGCTGTCTATTGCAAGTGAAACGCAAAACGTTACAAGTGATGTGAATATTTTATACATTATACAAGTTAAATGTTGATGCTGCACATCAAAGACGCCGCCAGATGATGTGAACAGTCAATCAGCATTGAAAATCGTTCTCTATTACAGCTGAATATCCGAAGCACAAATCAATTTGTTCTCCGTGTTCTTGGTACGTGCTCGTTGTTTAATAATTAAGATGCATATGTTTGTAAAAGTAGAACCTAATGCACAAGGTAATGCCATGTCTGAAATTCTGAAATGTTTGTCTGTTGCGACAAAGATTGAAACAAAGATTGAAACGTCTGGTCAAAGCAAAATAAATTGGATAACAAGTAAAATTGAAATGATTGGTATACTTAAAATGAATTCAAGACAATATGTGCCGAGAATATGTCTATTTAAATATTGGTGAGAATTGCATAATGCTCGAATGATTTTGAGGACGAACAGTTCTGAAGTGATCTCCACTTACTGACCGTAGGACCGGAGCGTACTTTCTTAACGGTTGAGGGAGAACCGCCTCTCTGATAGTGGGCGTGGTTTAGGCTTTGTAACTTGTAATTTAATGATTCGATCAAAGTTGTCCTGGTTCCCTTCCGCCTCGTCAAAGAAAACTAAATGCTAGCATACGGAGCATCATATTAAATTTGGCGACATTATTATAGTTTCAAAACTTATATTTATTGGTCATTTATCTGAATAATCTTTTGCTTTTTGAAAACAGTTTTAGTGATTTAGTATTTTGTGTGGCAGATAAAATACTACTGTGTTTAAAGTTTGCGACCTTTAAAACAAATATTTTCACATTCAGCCATACTTTATTTTGCTAATAAGCTTTAAACATGCTTTAAAGCATTATTTGAACGTTATGATACTCATGTTTGCACTGCTTAATGTTGGAAAAAAATATTAATTTCTGAGGCATAATGTGCCTTTAACGAAAAACATTTGATTCAAAGTTGAATGTAATTTTTACAATGCATGTGTATCAGTGATCTTTACATTTCAGAAATACGGAACATGGTAAATTGAGCAGGTGAAGGAATGAATAAAACACCACCCTCTTTACAGTCAGCAAAATAACTATGCTTCCGGTTTGGAACTACTGCATGCCGTTACAACATATGTGACAAAGAGATTTTAATCCACCTGATACGATTTGGTATCTTTCTATAAATGTCATGTTCAACTTCTGAATGGTGTTTTTTTCTGCCAAGTTTAAGAAATATATTACCATGTAACTGTCTAATATTTATGGCAATTATGAAGTAATGAGTTTTTGGCGTAGTAATCAAAACCATAAAAGGTGTTAGCTCGAAAGGATTTTCTACATGAGCTTGAAAAAATAACACCTTCATAAATGCCGTGATGTGAACAGAATAGAAGGGATATTTTATTTGCTTTTTACATTTTACATCTTCTATTTACCAACACACAGTACCGTCAATGTATTGTAATGGCAATAATGAGTATAATTGCAATAATGAATAATGCACTTTTTTGCAATGTATATTTCAAGTGGTGTAATAAGTAAATATTTGATCAGGAATGTACTTTTATTAAGACTTAATATATATGCAAACATACTGTACCGTTAACATAATGGCATAAGTGAAATTGCAGAAATGAATGATGCGCATTTGTTACAATGTATATTTCAAGAAGTGTAATAAGTAACATTTAATAGTTAATAAAGACATACTAGGCCGTACAATGAGAAATAATGATAATTTAACAACGTCATGATAGAAACATCCATTTGAAATTTCTTAAGATTTAGAAAATAATAACACCACCAAGAATATCACCACTACCACCAAAAACAACATTAATGAAAGATAATTAAAGCTCCAACGATGAAATATTTCATCATTCAAAAACATACAATGATGAAAAAAATGAAATAAAATATTAAAATAATTGTAATAACGACCAGAAAAACAATAATGAAATAAAAGAATGAAATAACAATATGAATGAAATAAAATTAAAACAATAAAATGAAATAAAATAAACAATTATGAAATAAAATGAAAACAAAAATAATGAAATAAGATAAAATAAAAACAATAACATAGAATAAATAAAAACACACACAAAAAACGAAAATAAAAACAAATTGAAATAAGGTAACAAGAAATGGAATGGAAGAATAATATTGTCACAAGTGACCATTTAGTTGTTTACCTATAACATGCTTGACCTTAAAGTGACCAGCCTTTGCCACCAGTATGCAGCCAGGCCAACCTGCACGTCCGTTCAGATTGACCAGGCTCTAAACCGTTGGCTGACCAATTTCAAATTTGATTTTATTCAAGTTATATTCCCTAAATTGAGAATGAACGTATTCAGAAACGGAAGCTGGACAAGTCCGTTTCCGATAATATTATCAACCATATACATGATAATATAATGTGTTCCTTTATATTTTGAAGTATCATTTGTTTATTTTTTTTAATGCTTTAAATAAGGAGTCACAAAGGGCTACTTTATCATTTTCATTTCCAAGCATATCCTCCTGCCTTTCCATTGATACCCACTGCCTAACCATTAACATTTATCTTGATTACATATTGATCAACCGTGGGTATCCGACGATGCATGCGTTTATGCTTGTTTTTTTTATTGATTTTTTAATTGTTATTGTTGTTTTCAATTTTTATATGATCTGACAAAAAGTTAAAAAAAGGGGATGGGGCTATTATCATTTAGCTTTTGTTTGTTCGCTTTTGATACGTTATTCTATCATTTTTTAACTTAACTTGCCTGTTTTAAATTAAAGTTGTTTTTTTTTAAATTTATTTATAATATTAATGTATTTATTTATATTTTTATTTATTGTTTTGCAAATTACATCAAGCGAAAAGGGAGGTTACTTGTTTTAAAATACAGACTGATCTCCCCTGAAAATTCAAATGATAAGAACGGACCAAAGCAGACTTATTTTCAGTAAAACAAGACTTTATTTAGTATAAAATGATAAAAAAAGTCATTTTCCCGTCAGTTTACACTCCATTACCACTTGTTATTTTTTTCTAACTGATAACTCTCACACATCTTCGGCACTAACATTAACTTTTGGGGAAAATGACTTTAATAATGCTACTGTAAAACTTCCAACAAATATCAATCAAAAGTAATAACATTTGGTTGTAAAAATGTAGCTGTAAAAAGTATGTTTAATTATCAATAGGGAGAGTAGCCGCCCTTTGGTCTCAGACGTCATTTCAATTTTCAGGGGAGGTTACACCGTTACTTAATTATCAAAGGCAAGAGTGGTCTGCCTTTGGTCAAACTTGCTTTTACAAATTATTCTGCAATATTTTATTTACCATCAAAAACAATTTAAAGGAACACACTATAGTCAAGTCAAAATTAGATACTTCCTTTTTACAAGTATACAGAGCTTGAAATATTTCAACCAATTTTAGGGAAGATTTTATGATTAATGCTTCAATGATTATAATCTTCTCTTGAATAATACTTTAAATATCTTAACTTAGTTTGAGTCTGGAACAATACTTGAAATATCTTAACTTAGTTTGAGTCTCAAACAATACTTGAACTATCTTGACTAAGTTTGAGTCTGAATCAGTATTTGAAATATTTAACTTAGCTTGTGTCTTGAACAACACTTGAACTATTCTTAACTATCTTAACTTAGTTTGAGTCTTAAAGAATACATGAAATATCATAACTTAACTTAGTTTGAGTCTGGAACAACACTTGAACTATCTTTACTTAGTTTGAGTCTTGAACAATACTTAAAACATCTTTACTTTGTTTGAGTCTGGAACAATACATGAAATATCTTAACCTAATTTGAGTCTGAACAATACTTGAAATATCTTAACTAAGTTTGAGTCTTAAAGAATACTTGAAATATCTTAACTGAGTTTGAGTCTTGGACACCACTTAAAATTTCTTAACTTAGCTTGTGTACAGAACAATACTTGAAAGATCTTAACTGACTTTGAGTTTGGAACAATAGTTGAAATATCTTAACTTAGTTTGAGTCTGGGACAAACTTGAAATATCTTAACTAAGTTTGAGTCTGGAACAATACTTGAAATATTTTAACTGAGTTTGAGTCTGGAACAACATTTATAATTTCTTAACTTAGCTTGTGTCTGGAACAACACTTGAAATATCTTTACGTAATTTGAGTCTTAACTTAGTTTGAGTCTGGAATAATAATTGAAATATTAAAACCAAGTTTGAGTGTGGAACAACACTTGAAACATCTTAGCTGAGTTTAAGTATGGGACAACACTTGAAATATCTTAAATAAGCTCGAGTGTGGAACAATACTTGAAATATTTTAACTGACTTTGAGTCTGGAACAACACTTGAAATTTCTTCACTTACCTTGTGTCTGGAACAACACTTGAAATATCTTTACTTAATATGAGTCTTAACTTAGTTTAAGTCTGGAACAATAATTAAAATATCTAAAATAAGCTTAAGTCTGGAAAAATACTTGAAATATCTTATCTAAGCTTGAGTCTTGAACAATATTTGAAATATCTTAACTTAGTTTGAGTCTGGAACAACACTTAAAATATCTTAACTTAGTTTTAGTCTTGAACAATACTTGAAATATCTTTATTTAATTTGAGTCTGGAACAATACATGAAATATCTTAACTTAGTTTGAGTCTTGAACAATACTTAGAATATCTTAACTAAGTTTGAGTCTTGAAGAATACTTGAAACATCTTAACTGAGTTTGAGTCTTGGACACCACTTAATTTTAACTTAGCTTGTGTCTGGAACAATACTTGAAATATTCTAACTGGGTTTGAGTGTTGAACAACATTTGAAATTTCTTAACTTAACTTGTATCTGGAACAAGACTTGAAATATCTTTATTTAATTTGAGTCCTAACTTTGTTTCAGTCTGGAATAATAATTGAAACAACTTAACTAAGTTTGAGAATGGAACAAGACTTGAAATATCTTAACTAAGTATGAGTCTTGAAGAACACTTGAAGCATCTTAACTTAGCTTGAGTCTGGAACAATACTTGAAATATTTTAACTGAGTTCGAGTCTGGAACAACACTTGAAATTTCTTAACTTAGCTTGTGTCTGGAACAACACTTGAACTATTTTTACTTGATTTGAGTAACTTAGTTTAACTTAGTTTGAGTCTGGAATAATAATTGAAATATCTAAACTAATTTTGAGTCTGGAACCACACAAGAAATATCTTAAATAAGTCTGAGTCTTGAAGAATACTTGAAATATCACAACTTTACTAAGTTTGAGTTTGGAACAATAATTTAAATATCTTAGTTTGAGTCTGGATCTATACTTGAAACATCTTACCTTTATTTGGGTCTTGAAGAATACTTGAAACAGCTTAACATAGTTTCAGTCTAGAAGAATAGTTGAAATTTCTTAACTTAGTTTGAGTCTGAAACAATAATTCAAATATCTTAGTTTAAGTCTGGGACAATACTTGAAACAGCTTAACTTAGTTTGCGTCTGGAATAATACTTGAAATATCTTACCGTAGATTGAGTCTGGAACCACACTTGAATTATCTTAACTTGGTTTGAGTCTTGAAGAATACTTGAAACATCTTAACTTAGTTTGAGTCTCAGAGAAAACTTGAAATATCATATTTTTACTTAGTTTGATTTTTGATATTAAGATTATATATCTTAGTTTGAGTCTGGAACAATATTTGAAATATCTTAACTTAGTTTGAGTCTGGAACAATAATTGAAATATCATAACCTAGTTTGAGTCTGGAACAATACTTTAAATATCTTTACTTAGTTTGAGTCTTGAAGAATACTTGAAATATCATAACTTTACTTAGTTTGATTTTGGAACAATAATTTAAATAACTTAGTTTGTGTGTGGAAATTTCCTTATTTATACTATTGGAAAGTTTAGTTATAAATATTTTTGTTAACAGTCTAATTTGAATTATATTGAGCTATATATTAGATATCAAAGCATTGGCCGAAAACAAATATTTTTTACATATTTTGGTTTCATTGATTGATATCATTGATTTTGTAAACAAAAACAAATACAAGTACTTTTGTATTCAAATTATTTTGAAAAACGATGAAATAGTACTGGAATTAAAAAGCATTTTTCTGAACGTGTTAAGTTATCTTTCCCTAATATTTATTAATAAGATACTTATCTTATATTTGTCAGATAGAGTAACCTCCCCCGAAAAATATAAATTGTGTTAGGGGCCGATAAACACACTCATCCTTCATTATTAAGTCTATCTGATAGTGTAACGTCCACTGAAAATTGCAAATGGGGTGAGAAAGCAAAGGGAAATCACTCTAACCTTAAATTATGAAGCCATATAGAGTAACGTCCCCTGAAGAAAACAAAGGGAAATCACTCTAACCTTTTATTATTAAGTCAGAGTAACCTCCCCTGTAGCAAACAAAGGGAAATCGCTCTTACCTTTCATTATTAAGTCAGATAGAGTAACCTCCCCTGAAGAAAACAAAGGGAAATCACTCTAACCTTTCATTATTAATCCAGATAGAGTTACTTCCCTTGAAGAAAACAAAGGGAAATCACTCTAACCTTTCATTATGAAGCCAGATAGAGTAACCTCCCCTGAAGAAAACAAAGGGAAATCACTCTTAAATTAAATTGTTTATCCAGATAGAGTAACGTCCCCTGAAGAAAACAAAGGGAAATCACTCTAACCTTAAAAAATTAAGCCAGATAGAGTAACCTCCCTTGAAAAAAAGGGAAATCACTCTTACCTTTCATTATAAAGTCAGATAGAGTAACCTCCCCTGTGGAAAACAAAGGGAAATCACTCTTACCTTTCATTATTAAATCAGATAGAGTAACCTCCCCTGAAGGAAACAAAGGGAAATCACTCTAACCTTTCATTATTAAGTCAGATAGAGTAACCTCCCCTGTGGAAAACAAAGGGAAATCACTCTAACCTTTCATTATTAAGTCAAATAGAGTAACCTCCCCTGAGGAAAACAAAGGGAAATCACTAACCTTTCATTATTAAGTCAAATAGAGTAACCTCCCCTGAGGAAACAAAGGGAAATCACTCTAACCTTTCATTATTAAGTCAAATAGAGTAACCTCCCCTGAGGAAACAAAGGGAAATCACTCTAACCTTTCTTTATTAAGCCAGATAGAGTAACGTCCCCTGAAGAAAACAAAGGGAAATCACTCTAACCTTAAATATTTAAGCCAGATAGAGTAACGTCCCCTGAAGAAAACAAAGGGAAATCACTCTAATCTTTCTTTATTAAGCCAGATAGAGTAACGTCCCCTGAAGAAAACAAAGGGAAATCACTCTAATCTTTCTTTATTAAGCAGATAGAGTAACGTCCCCTGTGGAAAACAAAGGGAAATCACTCTAACATTTCATTAAGTCAGAGTAACGTCCCCTGAAGAAAACAAAGGGAAATCACTCTAACCTTTCTTTATTAATCCAGATAGAGTAACTTCCCCTGAAGGAAACGAAGGGAAATCACTCTAACCTTAAATTATTAATCCATATAGTTACTTCCCTTGAAGACAACAAAGGGAAATCACTCTAACCTAAAATTGAAAGCCAGATAGAGTAACCTCCCCTGGAGGAAACAAAGGGAAATAACTCTAACCTTTCATTATTAAGTCAGATAGAGTTACCTCCCCTGAAGAAAACAAAGGGAAACCACTCTTACCTTAAATAATAAATCCAGATAGGGTAACCTCCCCTGATGTAAACAAAGGGAAATCACTCTAACCTTTCATAAATAAGTCAGATAGAGTAACCTCCCCTGAAGAAAACAAAGGGAAATCACTCTTACCTTTCATTATTAAATCTAGATAGAGTCACCTCCCCTGATATCGATGTAACAAAGGGAAATCACTCTAACCTTAAATAATTAATCCAGATAGAGTAACCTCCTCTGAAGAAAACAAAGGGAAATCACTCTTACCTTTCATTATTAATCCAGATAGAGTAACCTCTCCTGAAAATTGCCATGCTAAAGGATCAAATTAAATGAGATTACAGGTATTCTGTATGAAATAATGCACAGCTGCCGTTGTTAAGGAACCAGACAGTTTGAATAGTTTTAGACAGATCAACACAATTTCTTGTGTTTTTATGGTAGATATACATGTATACTACTTTTTGTTTCTGACCGCGCGTGATAAGCGAAACTAAATAAATTGTCTATGCATGATATCTTTTTACAGGGCGTACAAGACAATGGAACTGAAAGGTGTGTATACTTAAGTTGCCGGTTGCCCATATGAGTGGGTCCTCCAGAAGAGTATTAGTCATTTTATATTTTGGAGGATTGTGCAAAATACAGATACAGAAAGATGCCCCAGTTCCAGAAGCTTCCCCTGGTTCTTTAACGTGCCAAGTGTTTATGCACTCATGCACTGGACATCTATTTAAAGTCTCATCCGAAAGACTGATTAGTAATTTCAGTTGGTCAGCCCGGGAATCGAACCTACAATTTCGAGATTACAAGTCTCGCATTCTAAACGATTGTGCTATGCGGGCTAGCTAGGAACTGAAAGGTTTGTTTATCACCTCTCATATAATACTGCACGTTTGTTACGTCGCTTTTCATTGTAAAGTTTTTAATAATATTGCACGTTTGTAACGTCGCTTTTCATTGGATAATCGTGACGTTTATATGGTTAAATATACACGGCTGCTGTAATTTTAAAGAGGAATCTCACTTTTTTTTCTAAAAAGGAATTTGCCTGGAGGCTAAACAACCGTTTATATAGAGCCATATAACCTGTCAAAATCTTTGTAACTAAAAATAATCAAGGCTGCCGTCAATTTATGAAAGAATTCACATTTTTCTTTAAAAAAGAGGAAGTTTGCAGTATAATGAATTTGTTATAAATATTCCTGATATGTTGAATGACCAATTTAAAGGGGTAATTTGCAATATAACCCCCGCCTTGCGGCACGGGTTAACATTTTTCATTACATTCTGTTAAATTCTCAATCATATAAAAGTCATTTGTGCAATATAAAGACTATTTTGTTTTCTTCTTCTTTTGAATATTACATTGCTGGTACATTCAATCCAATCACGAGGGTGAGGGACTATATAAGTTTTCTTTCGTTCCAATCCCTTTCAATTTGATGTAATAGTAATTAATACACATATAAAATGTAATATATGTGAAATATTGAAATAAATACATGTATGTTTAAACAAATCCAATCAGCACAAACGATTATCGTTTCTACGTTAGTGCCATAAGGCATTTAAATTAAATAAATATACTATTCACGATGACGTCACCGGTCCGACCATTTAAATTAGTTTACGAAAATCCGCGAGGCAGATTTTATGAAACGCGCTCTGCCTAGTGCATTTTCAGTACATTTACTAGAATTTTTGTTCAATAAACAATACAATTTCCACTGGTGATTTCTTTCATCGTTGAACTTTTTCCATTATGATCTAATAAAGTGTGGTATAATAATCATACTAGTAAGAAATAGCACATAGTACTTCGGACGTCAGAGCTTTATAGTGACCGATCAGTCAGCACGCAGATCGAAGTCGACTGGTTGCTGACCTATAACTTTGCTAGATGTTATAGATCTTTTCAGTTTGGATTTAAGTTGTCGCCCTTTAATGACGTCATTGACGACAGACATTGCTGATTCGACTTTTATACGGTACATTTATAAAAGGAATTGCAAGGCGCGCTTTTAAAAATTGCCAAAAAATTGTATTAATAAATAATGTATTAAATTTTAATAAAAGGATGGACAAATGAATTAAAACGTTTTCATGTACCGTAATAAGTTTAACGTTATGTTTCAATACTGGATCATGGCTGGGTAACTGATCATGGTTACCATTTCCGATTAATTCTAAATAATAGAAAATGTCACACCGTGTTTTACAAGAGCTGTGTTGATCTACGATAGTAGCGAAGTAAAATATTGTAGAACTTATTGTGTCAACATAATTATGACACCAGTCCATAAAAATAAATTATTTAAGAACGTATGATTTAAGCCTTGCATATGCGTATCAAATATAATAAAATTTATGTACAATAACGTGTTTTTAACTGATGTTTGAAAAATAAATGAGCGATTCAAATATGTCTTTCGTAGAATGTAGGATACAACTGTTATAAACCATTGTTTTTTAATAATTCAGCCCTATCTTTAATAAATATCGATCCCCGCGGGAAATTATATTTAAACCATCGACATTTGACGATCAAAGTAAACTTATTGATTTTAAAGTTTCTATACCTCAGCCTTAACTATACAAATGGTTTAATAATTTATCCATTGATAACGAGTTAAAAATAGAACTTTAAATAAATAATGCTTTAACTACATATTGGATATACAAAATGTATATGCCCAATATGCTGAATATATAATTATTGCATGTGTGAAGATCAAACAATTTCTTGTTTGTGTGAATTAGTTTATATTCATTTTAAAGGAAATAATACGAAAACTTTAAGTAAGTATATTGTGTTTGTAGATATTTTTTTATAAACTTCTGTATATACATGCTGCAAATTTAAAGCTGTTCGCCAGCTATAAAGATTCGTTTGAAACGTACCTCTTGTATATACATGGCCTGTGTATAAAACATACATGCATGTTTTGTTTGTTGTTTTTTTATATTGTATATCAAATAGAAATGATAAACTCCTATATGTATATCCTGCAAATTTAAAGCTGTTAGACAACTATAGAGACACGTTATAAACATACCTCTTGTATATACATGTCCTGTGTATAAAACATACATGCACTTTTGTTTATTCATTTTTCTGCTGTATATCAAAGATGAATGATTTATTAGATGTATGATATCTTTAAACTTCTTCAAAAAATAATTTTCGATTGGTATTATATCTTTTAACCTCTCTAAAGTCGTTCAAAGAGAAATGATTCTCGATTTGTATTATATCTTTGAACCACTCCAAAGTCATTCGTTATCATGTAATAATGTGATGTACATGAATCTCTGATAAAAAAGATATATAGAAGTATAGATGTATAAAAGAAATTCGTGCATTAGTGTATGCAGAATTAACTTTAATTCCATCGTGTAGGAAGCTTAAAACGTATAGAATCTGTACCTGGAACCAACTAGCACTAAGCAGTGTATGTATAATATTTGCTGAAGGAACCAACGGCTTACACCTGACGGGATTTGAACACATGCGGACAGTTACCAAGACAGTCCGACGCGTTTACCAATCGGCCACGCCGCCACTCTGGAGGATTTCATTGAGCTACATTCATCATAAGAAGTTTCTTCTTCAACTAGGTTTAACAGGAAACACAAATGTACTGGTATTCTGCAAAATAGTATTTCCTAACAGAATATACCTTCGTTGTCTTTATAACCTTATCAATAATGGTTGTCGCCTATTAGCATATTTGATAAGTAACAAATACACGGGGCTTAATTAACAAAAGACAGATATGTAAAACATTTGTACACTGAACCTACAATGCAACACATATGCGGTTTGAATTAAAAATGTAAAATTATTCGCCTAGACCTAATCTTGTGCACCACAAATATTTATGCAAGTCCAACAAATAATTAACTTATATCATTTTTTTCTGTTTCATCATACTAATTTCAGGATGTTGTACTCGTCGTCAGATGTTTTTACCCAACTTCAACCCCGGCACGTGGGCCGGAGAGAGCGACATCCGGGTGCACGAGAAAGACATTCTGCACAGCGTCAAAGACATGCGCAAGATTCGGATATTTCACAATCAAATAGACCCCAAACTACCATACCTCAATCCAACCTAAAACCAAAATCATCATATTCAATGAATTCGGCAATATCTGAATTTTCCCATAACAGAGGGAACAGACAGACGCGCCATGAGGAACATGAAAGGGTTACGTCATCTTACCGTGAAGTTTCAACAATTGAAGATATCCGCGCGAGTATGAATGCCACCGCGAAACCTAGGTCAGCCCCTCCCCCGCAGATTCCTGATTGGATGATTAATTTAGATATCAACTTAGATGTGTCCTCAGTAGATATTATCCCACCATTTGAGGAAAAAGAACGAAATAAAATTGACAGAGATGCCGAAACATTTACCGAATCGCCTTCTTTTATGTATCTTGATACCAACGCAGACGACAGTGATGGTGAAGATACTGGTTCAAAAGAGACAAAAGAACGGTTAGAACCAAAAACAAATGAACTAAAGGCGAATTACGAGTATAACCAAACGCATAAAAATGTTCATTCTAATAGATCGCAGGCAAGCCAACATAACCGTCCAGTGTCTTCAAAGGGAGGTAACAAACCAGTGTCAAACACATTTAGAATCGCTCGAGGATTTTCACCAACGCTAAAAGAAAATGAAAGTAAGTTTTATAATTATTTATTCTGTTATCGAATTATGACTAATAGAACATATTTATATTTACATCTAGCAATTTATTATACAAAAAAGCTGTACAGCAAACTGAAAGTCATTTGCTTTTTCGACGTTCGTATCTACACGTTTTGAGTGGCCATTAAGCAATATGTAAAGGAAATATTCATGCTCAAGAGAGCTTTTCATACCTGTACATGCATTCAAGATTCTCAACTTTCAGTTGCTATTTTCTGTTATTTCAAATTTGAATATTAAAAAGGAGCAATAATAAATAAGTAGGACGGACAAATTGGACGATGTCATTTTCAACAATATCGGCGGTTTGGTGTCAATTATAGTAAAATATTTCAGCAGGAACCTCTTGCATCTTCGTGATAATATCATCTGAGCCTATTTCTTGCATTCTAGGGGGCGCTCTGGGGTGCAAGGTACATTGTAGAGGGCGCTCTGGCGGTTTTGCTATAAATAACAAAAGTTCACAATACTCACGTATTTTCACATTCTTATCGATATAAAATAAATGTTAGGCCGTCAATTGATTATTATAGGCGCGTCTATTGTTTAATTTAAAACGACTAACAGTGGCAAAAGTCAACCTCTATAGAAACGCCGCATTTGATTACGTCAAATCAATATATTGTCTTTATTCATCAAACATACTAATCTATCAATTTTAAATAATGTCAACATTTTTGTTTACTAACTTTAAAACGACAGCATTTAGTCGCTATTATTTTGAATGAATTTATGTCTTAACACCAATCTAGCGTATGCTGGCAACTACTCGATTAATTATTTATCATGTATTAAAAACTGAAAGAACCTTATCGGGTGTTGTTTGAACGCGAAAAGTTGTGCCAAAATCTTTCCGCTTATAATTTTTTTGACACGGGCGATCATTTAAAACGCGAGGGTAATGACTGCATTCATGAACGTGTACCTTAATGTTACATTCACTCTTTTGTTAATACGGGTTTAGAGAATGCATGATTTGTGATTATATACAACATTGTGTTGCTGTTGCTTTTATTGTTGATGTATGATTATATAACGGAATAAGTGATAGATAAAGATGGATGAATACGAGCTTATGATGAGTAAGTGGGCTTCCGGAATTTTAGAAAAAGGTTAAATTACGTTGTTATCTTTTGGTATAATTTTTGTCATACTCTTCAGCAGTAGCCGAAACATGTAACTAAAGCAAAAATATACAGATATATTTGGCAATAGATACTGAATTTTATTACCGGAACATTAAAAGGCAATTAGTGCCGATCTATTTTAGCATTTTGTGCTGATTCATTTTGGCAATTTGTGATTTTAACAATTTATACCGATACAGTTTGGCTTTATATAACGATGATAGTAGATTTTTAAGGCATAATCAAAATTGTGTTGTTGGTTCTGGTTATTGCATTTTTGTTATGTTTTTTTTTTAATAAAAACGTCGAAAGACTTCAAAAGGAATCTTTACGAGGTAATCTATAGGTGATCATCATACCTAATTTAAGTTCTTTATTAGTAAAATATTGTGGAAAAATTAGTCTTACTTCGTATTTTCTCTAAAATATACCCTATAAAATGTTCAAATATACAGTATAATTATCATGTAATTTAATGTAAATCACATAAGTGAAATAGGTGCATTGCACTTATGAATATTCAACAAGAAATGAGGCGAACGACACATTGTTATATATTGTAATGATTATTGTAATTCATTAACATTTTTTCAAAGGTCCTCGACGTTATCAAGGTGATAAAAAGGTGATGTCTATGCAGCAAGGTGGTATCCGAAGTACACGTAAGTTTAATATTTTAATTACTTAGTTTAATATAATAATTACTAAATTAATTGATTGGTTGGTTGGTTAATTGATTGATTCATTCATTTATTCATTCAATTATTCATTCATTCATTCATTTACTCACTTTTTTCACTCACTAAATCACTCATTCATTCACTCACTCATTCATGTATGAATTCATGTACGCATGCACGCACGCAATCACGCACGTACTCATTCATTCATTTATTCATTCATGTTTGTTTTTTATTATTCATTTAAGTAAATCAGGCTTTTAAGCCTATATCATTTTCAATCATGTTTGATATAACATTTGTTTGAATATGTGCAACAATCAATCTGTATTTCTTAGCTATTATTGAAAACGAAAATAGACGGAGGTGAACGAAAAGTTACGATTATTCTTTGTACAGAACCGCTGAACTCTGCTACAGTACAATATATCTTTTCTTTTGTTTAACAGCAATGCAGCCTAAGTCAAAGAAATTTATCAACCAAATGATTACATACAGACATATGAAGCACCATGACAACAAGATTAGAATAGCTAAACGTAAGTATTACAAAACTTACTTCTAATATCTTATACAGAGTTATTTTGTACAGAGTCATCTGGGGTCTTTAAAAGGTAGTATTGCTACTGCAATATATTCAAGAGATTTTAAGATTAAAGTATGTCAAAAAGTAAAATAATTCCATCATTTTAGTGGCGCAAGTTTTAGTTTACTATAATTTTCTTTAAAGACACATTATGCTTCAGAAATGAATCAATTTTACTTCTATGAAAAGGAAAACATATTTGTAACGTTAAATTAGTAGTTTTATAGCATGCTAGATGCTTATGACTCGAAGAAAGTAGGACTGAATATAAAATGATTTGTCATAAAATTCGCAAAATATAAATATAAAGTATTTTAACTTCAATATCAAACACGATATCACTGTACCTGTACTACTTGTAATTGCCAAAATGCAACAGAAGCAAAAAATGTACAATTGCAATTGGCAAATGAGTAACAGGAAAAATACAGGTAAAATAAAAACCTTTAAGAACCAAAAAAAAGCATTGCTGTGGCATATTGGGCCTCCTTTAAAGGGCATCAGAGCTAATGATTTGAGGACTTTTCGGCCAACACCGGCCAACACAACAAATCACTTTTTATCTTTAGAACTAGTTTTTCAATGTTTTTTATTTTATTAGAGACAGAGACATAAGTTAAGGTTAACAATACAAGGGGGGGGGGGGTTAATTCAATTTCAACATATACGTATCTATAGACTATTTGCGGCATACTTTGAGCTTGGATGTTTCATAAAATAAGGCTCAGTTTGGTGAAGAGATTTTGTTCATTTGTACATGTAGTTTAAAAAGGCATTTATATTTTCATAAGTACTGTCATAAAGAATCATCTTTAAAAAGGTTAGTTCGCTTTATAAATTTACAAGTTAAAATATGCTTTCTATTGTAAGAAAATAACATATTGTTTCATATATGTATATTTATCATTATTTCAGCTGCTATTGACACTAAAATGCCAGCTACATTTAAAATAGCACTCGGTATGTATTTTTATCTATTGGTAATCTTTATTTGTGATCATTCTGTGAAATTTAAGGTAGCATGCTTTGTTGATTTTAATATAATATCGAACATTAACACAAACACAGGCTTAAAAAGGCAAACTCCTCGATTGTGTGTTTAATTGTTATGAATGTTATTGTAACATATACAATGTATAGCCATTAGAATTCGATCAACAATCAATTTAAGTACTCTAATTTTGTCCTGATGAATAATATTGATATTTTATCTAAAATTCACAAGAAGCAGTAAAAACATTAAAAATTTATAAACTTATATCTTTTTTAATAAAAAGGGTTATAAGTTAATCATTTTTCTTTTCTGATTTCAGAAAGAAAACAGCTTGTCGAGGTAAGCATTGAACGGTTTGATTTCCTTTTGGCAATAACAAACATTATATTAATTCTTTGTTCATTCATACATAAATTGGACATAGATATTCCTCAGAAACATGTTTGTATAGGGTTTTAAATAAGTTATTTTTATACATCTCTTTTCAAGAGCTGTGTTGTATGTTTGACATCTTATCTGTGCTTTTTTTTTAAATTTTCACATTTTTAATTTTCAATTGTTAGATTAGAACTTTTGATTGGCGGTTTTATTTAAATGCCCAAGAAATAATATCTCATTTGAATACGCAACAATATCCTTACAATCACTCTACTTAAGATTATATTATTAAAATGACATTATGTTCATTTTTATTGTTAAATTGAGCTGAATTAATAATATATATTCAAAAGAGTCACTGTTATTATGGTGACTGATCAACAAGTGATAAATTGGAAAATGTTAACTTAAGTTCTGTCTTTAATATAAAAGACTACCCCACTCTTTTTAATAATGGAACGTTACAGGTAAATTCTGATAAATATTTACAGAACTTGGGTAACGTAAGTTATTTATCGTTCATGTGAAGTAAATTATAAAATTGGAATGAAATGTTCACTCAATGTATATCCTTGGATTGGCATAATGTCATTTTAAGTGAGGAAGTCAATACATTTTCTGTGTGTTAAATAATAAATATATTAATATGGAACGCCGTGACTGTCTTATGCTATCAATGTTTTTGATATCTTGTGAAATGATGATATTATTTTGTCACTTTAGCATATTAACATGTGCAATTTACCTCATATCTTGTCTAAAGACAATGCTGACTTGTACAAACAGCATGTTAACTTGTCAAATAATCATTATGACATGTGCAGACAAAATGTTAACTTGTCAAAGTATCATGATGACTTGTGCAAACGACATGTTAACTTGTCAAAATATCACGATGACTTGTGCAATGAACATGTTAACTTGTCAAAATTTCATGATGACATGTACAAACAGCATGTTAACTTGTCGAATTATCGTGATGACATGCTCATAATACCTTAACAAGTTAACATGTCTTTTGCACAAGTCATCACGATTTTTTGACAAGTTAACATGTTGTCTGCACAAGTCATCATGATAACTTGACAAGTTAGCATGGCATTTGCACAAGTCATCATGATACATTGACAAGTTAGAATGGAGTTTGCACAAGTCATCACGATACCTTGACAAGTTAACATGCTGTTTGCACATGTCATCATGAAATTTTGAGAAGTTAACATACCGCTTTCACAAGTCACCATGATACTTGGACAAGTTGGCATGTTATTTGCACATGTTGTCACGATGATTTGACAAGTTAACATACTGTTTGCACATGTAATCATGAAATTTTGACAAGTAAGCATGGCATTTGCACAAGTCATAATGATACTTGGACAAGTTAACATGCTGTATGCACATGTCATAACGATAATTCGACAAGTTAACATGCTGTTTACACATGTCATCATGGAATTTTGACATGTTAGCATGGCATTTGCACAAGTTATCATAATTCTTTGACAAGTTAACAGTACGTTTTGACATGTCAGCATGATACAAGATAACATGTCATTTGCACAAGTCATCACGATTCTTTGACAAGTTCACATGTTGTCTTCACAAGTCATCATGGTAATTTGACATGTTAACATGCTGTTTGCACAAGTCATCATGATACTTTGACAAGTTGATATGCTGTTTGCACATGTCATCACGATGATTCGACAAGTTAACATGTCGTTTGCACAAGTCATCATTATACTTTGACAAGTTAACATGGCGTTTGCACAAGTCATCATGACACTTTGACAAGTTAACATGCTGTTTGCACATGTCATCACAATAGTTCGACAAGTTAACATGGCGTTTGCACAAGTCATCATGACACTTTGACAAGTTACCATGTCATTTGCACAAGTCATTATTATACTTTGACATGTTAACATGTAGTTTGCACAAGTCATCACGATACTTTGACAAGTTAGCATGTTGTCTCAACATGTCATCATAATAATTTGACAAGTAAACATCCTGTTTGTACAAGTCAGCATGCTCCTTTAACAAAACATGATGTAAATTGCACATGTTAACATGCTCAAACGACAAAATAATATCATCCTTTCACAAGATAACAAAAACATTGATTACATAAGACAGTCACGGCGTTCCATATTCACGTATACATTGTCTGTGTGTTAAATATATACACGTATTTCATCTTTCTTGATATAAAATGGTTTTCAACATTATTACAGAATAGACTGAGCGACTCATGGAGCAGAGCATCAGCCACACCATCTCCATCAAAGTCTTCAACAGAAAATATTTCAAAGTCACAAACCACGCAAAGATCAAGATAGTTTATGAACTGATGATACATTAATGTGATACTTGTTATTTCATATAGTTCATGAACTGATGATAATTTCCTGAGATACTTGTTATCTAATATAGTTCATGAACTTATGATAAATTACTGTGATACTTGTTATTCAAGATAGTTCATGAACTGATGATAAACTCCTGTGATACTTGTAACTTAAGGTAGTTCATAAATGATGATGAAATACTGTGATACTTGTAATTTAAGGTAGTTCATTAGCTGTTATGCTTATCATTCAAGATAGTTCATGAAGTGATGATGAATTTCTGTTATACTTGTAATAAAATATAATAAATGAGCTGATGACGAATTCCTATGCTACTTGTTATTCAAGATAGTTCATGAACTGATGATAAATCCCTGTGATACTTGTTAATTTATATTGACTGTGATAAAATTGTGTAAATGTGATATTTTCATAATTTATGTTACACGCGTTCATTTAAATGTGATCTGTCTGTGACTTTTGTAGTTTATGATGACTGTGATAGAAATCTGTATTAAAATTCATTTTTTAATTTAATTAAATTTACGTAAATAAACATGACATTTTGTCTGTTAAAATGTTATTTGCATTAAATATTTATTTAGCAGTAATTGCATTGCATTGGACAGTAGAGAGTGAAAAATGAATCGCGATTAACGTCGTCGAAGAAGAGTTACTTCCCTTACTGGAACTGACGTAAATGAGGGGGGGGGGTTAATTCTATACAGATCTAAGTTGCCTGCCCTGGCGACAAATGAAAGGGATCCATTACTGATGTTGGACTATCTTTGGTGTTGATTTTTTCCATCACAAACAACTTATTATGAAATCTATCTTATAGATTTAACTTTCACAGACAAGACAAATGTATATATCCATTTCACTGTATTTTTTTTGTTGTTTTATGTTTTCGCTAAGGTTTATAATGTCGGGTAATTGCTTTCCGTGTTGAAGCAGTAAAACTGTTATTAAAGATATTTCATATCAATCTTTGTTCTATTTTCCCCCTAGTTAAATAGATGTGTTTGAATTGTATGTCCTGAATGAATATCTGACACCAAAGGGGAATACCACAGTGTTTCCCGCTGACTATTATTGAAATCTCATGTTAGTTATCTCCCTTGAATTGCAGAGGAAATCATATGTAACTTATAAATATTTCTTATAATACATTGTCATTTCTTGTTTAAGTAAATTGTTTGCCTACTTTTAATAACTGACCTTCTCAGTTGACGATTATATTGTTGTACCGTATGAACAGCTAGCTTTGCAATCTGAATTTTCATTTACAAGACAAATTTACAAGGAAAATTGTGGTATTTAGTCTTGAAATGTTTCAGAACACTCTATTTTTCTTGCTTATATAATATACACTTTTCATAAATATATTGGAATGGCAAATCATTCCGCTGTTTGGAAGAAACGCCCAAAAAATAAAAGATGTGATGTCAGTAATATTCCAGATAATGTGGTATTAATCTGAACGATAATGAAATTTTTAATTCTGTTTTAAAGTTTAGCTGCTATTTATAGAAATTAGAGTAATTCTTACTCGAAAGCACCTCACCTGCTGGAGCTAAGAGGCTACGTGATGCATGGACTCCAGCAATTCGAACCCATTTAGTTGCCGTTTTACAATCACGCAGGGATAAACGGTGGCTGCAATTTTGATGCTTCATCCCTTAGCCACAATGGGTCACTGAACTGGGAAGATATAACTGATTGTATAAATAAAGTTGTGATTGATCTATGTTCTCTTTAACAATTCTGTAAATGAATAAAATGAAATAAAAAAAACTGTCATCCAATTGTCGTCCAGTATATTTATAACGAATGAACTACGGTAGATTTTTCCAAATTAAATTTTATTTGCATGATTTCATTTCAAAAGCTATAAACAAAAGAACCGAATATACACAGTGTCTCTCTCATGAAAACACAGCATCTCTCAGTGTTCATCTCAATCTATCTATACATTTCCGCGTTTTAGGAACCATTTCAATAAATAGATTCCGTGTTTTGGGGACCATTTCAAATAAATAGATACGGCAACTCTGCAAATACTGAAGTTTTCACGAGATAAACATCTTTCAAGGAATAAATATATTTGAATATATAGAAGAAATGTTGATAAATATTATTGCACCAATGTTCATAATTATATTTATACACAAAAAAAAAAGTGTTTATCAAAAAGGGCAAGTATGGGTGGAAAATAAATAGGGCGATTGGGGATACCCATAAAAATATACAGGGAACAAATTTTTTTATTTTCCCTTTCCGAAAACAAAAATTTAAATTAAAGTTACTTTCCCACTCAACAGTATTGAATATTTTTTCAAGTGAAAATTTTGTTTTTGTTTTAAAAAAAAGGGCTTTTTTTACTGCATTTTTAAAACTTTTGCACCTTATCGGTATTAACTTTTCCTCCCCCAGTCACGTGATTTTGGACATTTTTCGAAACCTTCCCTTTTTTCTTTATCAACTTTTTTCCCAAAAAATTTCCTTCTCATAAATGACGTGCTCATTTATGGAACGTCACTTTTCCAAGTTCCATAAATCGGGGCTGACGTCAAAGATGAAAAGAAAACTAAATTAAATAAAAGAAGTGAGCAAAGAAATTTGAATAAGAAAATAAACATATTGACAAAATTGAAATACAGTAGTTTTCTATAATCGATTAAAAACAATGAAATATGACAAAAGCTTATTTTTAAACTTATGATCAGCTGATGAAAAATTATTAAAACAGAGTCATATTAAAATTATTTTTTTCTGGTACAATGTATATTAATTTAGGAAATTGTAATCATATTAAAGTTTATCAATACTTTTTGTGTGTTCATGTACGTGTGTTACTCTGATATAAAAAAAATGCATGTTTAATCATAAAAAATGTAAACAAAGTCATACAGAATAATCTGGAGATCAAAGATAATTTAGAAAATAAAGTCAAAATGATAAGCTATTTTCATGGTAGCAATGTTTTTACAGCAGCAAATGTAATTCTAGCAATAAAAAGACATGACCTTAACTTGACCTGTAATAACCTGAGATTGAATATATTTTGTAGCCAAAAAAAATAGCCATTGAAAAAAATCATGGTAAAAATATTGAGAATAATTTTGCTCCAAAAGTACCAAATTTCAATTGCAATGAAAAATAACGCAATGGGTATATACGCGTAACCTTAGCTTAATGGAAGTGCTTTTCTGGACATGGTGGAACATTCTCATAAAGGAAACTTGTTTCCCAATCGCAAACATTTACTAAAACTAATCAAAATCTAGTTTAAAAGATCGTTTTACTACAATTTTTAACAACAAAAAGAGTGCTTTGCGAAACTCATGTTATGTGGAATGGTCAGTATTTTAAACACATTTTACTATGTTAAACCGGACCTTAATGTTGGGTATATACGTAACATACTGAATTCAAAGTCAGTAGAAATAAACAGCTAAAAATTATTTGTCCAGTCTGAGAACGAGTCTATTTAAGATTTGAACCTGTCTATTACGCACTCCGAGAATAAGCTCATTTGAGATTTGCGCGTGACAGTCACGCACACTAAACCATAGCATGAATATTGTCAAACAGTCCGTTATGTATGTAATAAGGAATAAATAACGACCAAACGATAAAAACAAAATGTATACATTAAGTCCCACTTTTCGTTAAAAATTCGGGTTAGTGCATGTATAAGTTTCAGTTCTAAAATATTAATATAACATTTGTTTCATACTTAAATTATGTGTGATTTCTATGCAAAAAATTATTATACAAAACAGAAAAACATCCTCATCTCAAGATTTCCAAAAACATTTTTTTTCGTAATTTGCAGAATGCATATAACATTTACCGAACATAAATATTTTTGTTTTTCTTGTTTATAATTAATCGGACAAGATCAAAGAATGAAACATACTTCTCATAATAATAAAAAATATGGAACGCCAAATAAGTCCTATTTTTACACAGTTTGTGACATGAAAAGTGTTTCGCATGTACTTCACTTCTAATGTGTTTTGTTGACTTGTCGGAACAGAAAATATTTTTTTCGAGATTTATGCACCATTCGATAAAGGTCTATAACAATAACTTGTGTGCAAAAGTTTATATCTTGCGCTCGATTCGTTCTTTCCAAAATTATCATTCAATGACCGACAATTGCAAATCGGGCTAAAATACTATCAGTTATTTATTTTTGAGTATATTTCTTGGTTTTCTTTTGAATATCGTTCTGTTTTAAATGCCCCAGCTGATCTATGTAAGAAATTGATATTTCATGTTTTCAGTCTTATAAACATCGATGAAGATCCTTTAAGAAGTGACTGTGCGTAGTATGAAAGTACTTACTACATTATATATTGAACATAAACAATCATACAGTTATTACATGAGATGCCAATGGAATTGCACAAAAGGAAATAACAAAATAAAAGTATAATAATTATATCAAATGATTCACTAACACAAGTTAAATGTAGATTTAGAGAGCAACAACACAACGTGACCAATAAAAGCAAGAAACAACACAACATAAATAACTTAAAAAGCCATGAAAAAATATTACAGCAAATGTCACACTGTTTTTTTGGTCTTTTTTTCTCGCATTTTGTCATTTTTTTCACATTTTTTTCACAGTTTGTCACAGGCATGATTTACAAGATAATACAGCAGGCCATGTCATCATCTTGTGATGAAAGCAGACGAGACGACTCCTTCTGTGTTTTATTTGACGCTGTTCCAGAAATCTAAAACGATATGCATGTGCTGGTGTGAAACGTGAACAATATGTTTTAAAGTAGCCTTTTTGTTTAATTTGAAAACTAGCACATTCATTTATATTCTATGCATTGTATTGTATACATTGTTCAATGACTATAAGTTCTTATTATCAAAATTATACTATTTTAACAAAATTCAAAAGTAAGTATAGTAACAATAAAGCAACATCATCTGGAATGTTTTACGCACGTGTGCATTGTTGATTATATTTTCAACTAATGATTAACATTTGTACGTTACCTAAAATCGCTCTTATCTACCTATATCATTAAAAGGAAAATGAGCTTGTCTTATTCAGATAGTCGTTGATATACAAAGCCTGATGAACCGCTGAGCCTACTTGCCTGAAAATGTCTGACATTGTCAAACCAACTTTCAAACCGTTGTGATCACCTACTAATGTACAACTGACAATTTCAAAACCCGTAATGAAAACGCTGTACTAACCTACCCGCGTTTCACTGACATTATCAGATTCACCATTGAAATCGTGCTAACCTACCCATGTAGCACTAACATTGTCAAAACCATTAAAATGATGTTGGCTAACCTAAACAAGTATCACTAACAATGTCAAAATCAACATTGAAACCGGTGTGCAAACCTACATGTACCCGTGTACCTTTGACATTGTCAAATATTCAAATGTCACGGACATTGTAAAAGCCGGCATTGAATTCGGTCTGCTAACCTAACCGTGTACAACTCTCATTGCCAAAACCGGCACTGTAACCGATGTTCTTACCTACCCGAGTGCCACTGACATCATCAAATCAACCAAAGCCGCTTTTTAAAATTTATTTTAACCGGGTTACCCTAAGCATTGTTTAAAAAAAGCATTGAAATGCTATTTCTAAACTTTCCCTTTTTTTAACTGGGCATTTTCAAAACCCCAAAATTTTTATTTCCGCGGGAATTTTCCTACCGTGTCGATTGACTTTCAAAGCCCGTATTTTAAAAAAACTTTGCCAATTTCTCATGTACCATGACATTTTTAAAATCGGGATTGAAGCCGCTGTGCTCAGATCTTTCGTTATTTTTTACATTTATAAAACCAGCATCATAACATGTGGGTTCAAAAAGAGGTTCATGAAAGTTTTCAAAAAAGATTGAAAACGTGTGCTAACCAGTTTTCTGACGTTTTCGGGAAACTTAAAATTGAAAAAAAACCATTAAATTAACCAGCATTTTACCAAAAGACATTTCCAAAAATCAAAATTGGGAAAAGTTCTGCCTTTATCTAAAACGCAAAAACCTAGCATTGAGACAGCTCTACTAACTTAGTCAGTATGTTTGACGAATTTGAGACTTGCTTACCCGAATATGATTGACATTATCGAAATCTGTCTTGAAACCACTCTGGTAACTTTTTATCGAAAGTTTATCTTCCTCATCTTTCAGACTTTGTTCGTAGAGCGGATTGCATGTTATACTCAGTTCCTTGCGGGAACCAGCGTCAAACAAAACCTCGTCGTCTTTTTCATCATCAATAAGTAGGTCCATAGGAAATCTTTGCGGGGTATGCTCCTCCAGGTCCGTCGGATCAAAAACTGAAATATTAAATACTAATTATGTGATACTTAGTCTTTAATAGATAATCTTTTTTACGAAGAGGATGGGTACAGATACTTCATTGAAAATAAAGTAATTTTTTTTTTGAAAAAAAAGAAATTTTTGTTAAAGGACGCCAACGGAAAAACCCCACGGGGCAAAAATTTCTGCAGAAAGGGGTTTTTTGGGGAGCCCAATTTTTATGTTAAGTTTAAATTTTCCCCGATAAAAAAAACTTTGGGTTTAAATTTTTTTACGATTAAAAGGTGTAAGGATATTTCCTATGACCTCAGATATAAAGGTTTCGTCCGAAATAAAAAACAAACTGGTGGGGAAGTTAAGATGACGAAGCAGAGGATCAAACTATGTTAATATCATTGTTTAATTCATAGTATCTCTAAATAGATTTTAGCTAAAAGATAATTTTGAATTCTTCATGATGCAAATCGAAAGGCAAACAACATAAAGAAGTAACTGTCTTACTCGAGCCTTCATTAATCTTAAGCTGAAAAAGTTCTTTTCCGATGTTCGAAATATCATCCTCCGTGGTGTTGAGTTCCAATTGAGATATGTCGAATATGATGTCATCATCGTCGTCATCGTGAACCTGAAACAGTCACGTGACATTGGCGTTTAAACAGAATTTAGCACAATCAGTTAATTATGGATTTAGCTCAATACAGGATTGGAGCAGTACCTCTAGACGCTTGCAGAAATCATGATCCCAAAATAGACAAATATCGTTTTTTTTCGCCGAATTTTACATTTTTCCTGATTATCGTACTTGATTCGGTGTGAAAAGATGATTTAGACCTGTTAAAGTTCATTCCGTTGGGTAAAAAGACAAGATTTTAGCATTTTATCATTCAAGCGCCTTGTCCGGTATATACCGGAATACGGTATTTAGTGTGGTGCTCCAATCCTTTTTTTAGTCACAGCCGTTAATTATTTAATAAGCATAAACAGTGTTTTATCTTCTTACTGGAATTAGCATGATGTCATTTTTTAAAATCTGTTTTGCATACAATATATTTAAAAAAAATAAACATCTTGCATTATGTAAGGGACATGGGTCATATAACCTAAATCATGTATCTCGTGCATTTAGCGGGAAGACTTGGAGTCTACAGCTGTTTACTATTAGGGTATCCCTGCTTTGAGTAATATTTATAGGAATACTTTTACGAATCAGGTTTCGAAAGGATTTTCGTCCAAAACAATGTCACTATTAACCGTTTACCTTCTAAATTTCTTGAATTGACTTATTTAGCTGAAACCTTCATCAGTTTTGGAGATATCAAGTCGGAAATTTAGCAATTAAAGATTTTCCAGACTGCACAGTGGGTAAAGGTTTAATACCCCAGTTCTTGCGTGTTTTGCTCATAACATATTCCGTTAATTAGACACAATGGCAACATTTTTTAAAAAAAGATAAAATACAAGTCTTAAATTTTACAAAACTAGATATTTAACTTTCAAAGCAGATGGATGACGTTTGAATGACACTTGCATCCCAATCACATAGTGGCGACAGTATTCATTGTATATTCCAATTTGTAATCAATTGTGGACCATTGTAGACCATTTTACACACTGTCACAGTTTTAAATCTACTCATGGACAATGGATGCTGCCTTGTGGAACTTGATGAATTAATGAAAACTAATTATACATACCAGTTTGAGGAAATGTTCATTATCCGAGATATGATTCAAATCAGTAATTATTTTGACGTCAATTTGTTCTACGTCCTTGACTACTGACAAATCTACAATAAAATGTCAAAAACACTAAAGTTAACAACGACTAAAATATCATTATAATGTGTTTTCTCTTTAAAAATAATGTCAAATATTACTGTTGTAGCAACCTTTAAATCGTATGCCCTAATATAAATGCAAAATTGGCATGCCTTTGGCGCAAAAGAATTCTGTTGAGTTAATATTTTTCACAAATAGGCTTTCAAAACCTGTGCACTTTAAAACGTTCTGTCAGTCCAAGCAATTATTTATATACTGGCTTTTTAACAGTGAAACGACTTGTGTTTGAAACTATAATATACGGGTATTGCATGCCTTTCAATTGCCTGAAATACGGAGCACCAGAAAATCTGCTTCATTGGGTATTGCGTATAATGTAGATTTAATTATTTATTCGGCGATTTCTATACCTTCAGACAAGTCAACTTCCTCAAACTGGCCTACGTCGTCTATACATTCTGTTGGTGATGCCAGATTAATCTCAGCTTGTTCAAGTTCATCTTTTAGACTGCAGCAAAAACTTTCATCATGTGATATATCCTGGAATGAAATAAATAGAAAATATTGCCTGACTTAAGTGAAAAAATCAATGAGCGTATACCTCAACAAAATCCAGTTACACAGGACCACAGGCAATGTGATCAGCATGGCACCGAAGAAAAAACAAAACGAAAGATGGCACAAGAGAAAAACAGAAATTTACATCGCCTATCTGATAAAAATCTATGAGGTAAGAGAATCATGTGAGAGCATGCTCCCACATTAAAAACTTTGTCATGTCGGTTAGCTTTTGCCCCTTTCATAAAGAAGATTGTAGAATCAAACTATTTAAATGGTCCTTTAACAGACTTTGGATTTTCATTGCAGTTAATTGTCATATGATAAATTCAATGACGAAGTGTATATATATTACAAAATACAAGCGATCATCGTCAAAGTCTTAACAGACTGATCCGCAATATAATCAAATTTGTATATTAGGTAAGCCAGAATTGGCCTTATTATATAAATTGTATATACTCACTGACTGGGTGTTGTCATCAAGTATATCTTCATCAAATTCAGCATCATCAACAGAATCATCGTCAAACACTCCAGAATCGCGACTATGTGCCCTTGGAAAGCCTTTCTTGTTCGGTTCTGTTTGTATATCTAAATCAGTAAGACATGTAATATTTGTGTATGAGAGAAAATTCGTTCACCACAATCTATAAGATTAAATTTTTCTCGGCAATGTCATTTTTGAGATCATGAGAGAAAATTAATGGTCAATACATAGTTACTTCCCTTGATAACTTTCCGTCCTAAATGCGGGAGTAAGAGAATAAATCGGAAGGTTTACGGTACGATAAAATGAAATTGTATCATAGTTTGGGGACCTTTCTGTTGAAAAAGTGTAAGAGTTAAATCGTATACATTTACTTGCACAGTGCGGTAACTGGATTGCAGGTATCAGTTACCCGCACTCCAGATCATGCCCGTTGATTGGCTCATTTTTGTTGGGGTTTACATATTGTGACGGCAGAGAAAGGGAAAGCGGGAGAAATATCATATTCAGATGCTCGTTCATTGGTAACTTTTTCCCGGGGTTTGACAAAAGGGAACGTGTTTTTATGTTTGACTATGATACAAAAGAGAAAGAACACCAAAACACTCGGCAGTCTGATGTATACTCGGGGGCTACGCCCCCTCGTACAAATCAGATAGCCGAGTGTTTCGGTGCTCTTTCTATTACTAACACATCTCATTAACTTCAACAAACACAAAAAGCGCAAAGTAAAAAAGTATAAGAATATGAGGCTCTCTTATCAAGTCATTATCGGAGCTTTTGTTCTAAATTTTTGTGGTTTCAGGTCCGGAAATGGGGCCGGGGTAACTGAATAAAGACCGAATTATTGGCATGAATGCATGCAGATTGTAGTTGTATTTGGAGATTTTATCTAGTTTTTGAAGAGGCAATTCTGAGCAGGTATTGATGTCATTTGTATTACCTTCAATAACTTCTAGGTCCGAAGCTGAGTCGGGATCTTCATCCAGTTGTGTTTCTTGTTCACAACCACTGTCATGTCTGCAGTGTGAGGACTCCTGAAAAAATAATCACAAATGTTTAGAAGGAATAAAAGCTTTATATTTCTGTTGTACAATTTAACACTACTTTATTATTAAAACGTTGAAAATTGAAATATTTGGATAAATTATTCGCACAAAACCAAAAGCATCATCGTAACCTAAGTAAAGATAAGATTTTTTTCCATTTGATAAATTTACTGTAAATTAGAAAAACTGAAAGCCCTAATCTAATAATCTTATTGAATATGTTATGCCATTTAATTAATTATATAAAAGGTATATTATAGACTAGTTCATATTATTGATGAATTACTTGCCTACCAAACTTTTATCATTCTTATTACTTACCAAACTTTCATTGCTACTGTACAGTGAATCACGGTCCGGATTAGTAATTAGAATCTGTGTCTTTCCTTCCGGTTCAAATATGAATACTGGTTCCCCAATATCCAGGCACGACACTGGTTCCTTTACATCAACGGATGGTACTGTAGGCTTCTGTGGCACATAGTCTGTGAAATGAAAATATTATCAAAGTACTGAAAAAAATAAACTCGCAGGGCGATTGTCACTGAGTTAATCAGAGATCAGCATAACATTTTGGACACGTGATAAGTCACGTGATCTTAAACGCGCATTGATTTCAATACTTATTTATATATCAAAGTTTAGAAAAAGACTATTTTCTTTTTCCAATTTCATGTGTTTTATTTTAGCGATCCAACATATATATATATATATATATATCGTTTATAAATCTGAATTTGGAAGGAATGTACTACTAACATGTGTGCATTCTGAACGGACGTTATCGAGAAGAAACACACTCTTGAAATCCTTAAAACTGTTAAAAGAAGGCATTATCTTTATCATAAATTATGTTGTTTAGTTTAGATTATTTAGAAGTTTTTAAAATATCTAATAGGTTTGAAATAACAGCCACAATAAGTTACTGATACCTTGATAGTATTCAAAATCTGGTGTGACAGACTTTATTATAAATGGATACTCTGGTTCGGTCGTTTTCTTTTGTTTTCGTTTGGCTTGTCCTGAAATATGTATAAAACATTCCGTTACATCTCTCAGCAGACGACATATCAACCTAAACTTAATGTACATGTAGGCAATAGAAAATAGAGAAAACGGAAATCCTTAAGAACGCCCAGCACAACGTAATTGAGAATGTTGCAGGCTCGGTTTGATTGAACTTGTTCATGGGCGCTACTGGAAAGTCCAAGTTATTGATGGTGTATCCAAGCAGAAACAAGGAAAGTGTCTGCTTGTTTTCTTTCAGTTCAAAATAACAGAAGGTAATGGGTTATGCAGTTGCTCGTTTGGTTCAACCTATTAATCGGAGTAGCACATTAAGAAACAAAAGTTAAAATAACAATTTTTATACAAGATTTTCTAGAGTTTCAACAATGACTTTATATAATCATGTCCGAAGTATGCCGAAACATGTCCTCAATCATGTGATTTATTTGCTGTAACTGATGTCCATCAGCCAAATCAATTATGGAAAAACTGTCTAGTGTTTTAACTTTGTTATTACTTAGTGACTTATAAACCTACCATTTTTGTTCTTTCGCTTCTTCCGATTACGCCTCCTGCCCCCTACAAAGAGGGCAGGGGTGTCGGCGTCTGCGATATGATTCACTGCATTTTGAAGTTTCAGCTTCAGGCTCTTTTGCATACTGTGTCCGACGGGTCTGGAGGAGTGGGGATTACAATTCCATAATGAACCTGAAAATGAACAGAAATTAGTAGATATTGAAAATAAAGCTACAGTTTGTTCGGAATGTTCTGAAAGTCATTTCGCAGTAAAACTGAAAACGGAAATACAGTTATTTGTACGTGTTATACCAACTGAGAACCTGAATGAACATACAAATAATTTCCAACATATGTTCCGGAGAAAAAGAAACGGAAGAATAAAAGGACAATAACTCTATTTATGAAGGGTAGTTTTTACTGCACTCCTTTGTGAGATATATAAACATATGAAGATTCAAGACTTTCTGAATAGGCGTTGGACAAAAAAGCCATGAAAGAATTTAAAGGGCAATAACTAAAAGTCGATATCTCAAATACTTTTCGAAATACTAGAATGCCCCGGACAAAAAGCATGAGAATTAACAAAAGGCAATAACTCTAAATTTATGAAGGTAGAGTTATCATTGTTGACTACCGCACTCCTTTCCACTTATGAAGTGTCGAGGTGATATCTGAAACACTTTAGAGTTATGCTCCTGTTAATAATTTGGAACTGAATTACGGACGGATACTGCTCCCGAAATGGTTCGGGAGGGATAATAGCTAAGAAGATTATGGTAATTTCCAGCGGTACTAGTGACAGATATGTAATGATAATTCTATTACAATTAACTAACATTGTTTGTCAAGATCTCAATCTGTTAATATGTGCTTCTATTTATTGTCAATTCATTACACTCAACAACTTTAAAAACGCAGCAGTCAAATTTTAATAATTTTAACATTCAATAAAATGTTTGCATTTAACTTGGCAATCAAATTAAAGTTTAAAGATATCATCATTTTGATAGATAAACATTGACCTATGTTATGACACTGTCAATATCCCTAGGTGAAAACAGTAAGTTCATAAAAGATTATATTTCTAGTTTTTGGCATACAAACTACCAAACAAATTGTGCGTCTGATGGATGTTGACTTCGAGTCTTCTACAAAACTATAGCCCTGCGGATAATCAAGACGTACCGTGTATTATGCAACAGAATAAGATCGTTTGCTTAAAATAACATTCGCTTTGCCCAAACATGGTCAAATTCTACATGGGGGCGTAGGTGTGTTATCTTGGTCTTTTAGTGAGAGTTCATACGCCTAAATATAAAACTGCATTGCATTGATGAAGTTGTGTTGCGTTCACTGCTGCAATTAATGCTTCAGCGGCTTAGACATTCACACGATATTGAATTTTGTGAACTCGTTGCTGACACCATAGTTACTTGTAATTGTAATAAAACTAAGTTAATTTTCAAACTACTTTTTGGTTCCATGTGAATTAAATTCCAACAGAGGATAGTTATGACAAGAATTATTTTTTGTTTGAAAGTTTCATGAAAATATTTTGACATATTCGGTGTTAAAATCATCAATATTCGACTGGTGCGTTTTTAATGTTCTTGATTGTATTTCTGTCTAACATAACATATATGAATATTGTCAGATTTGTCACACACAAACATGTTTACGAAATTGTATTGTCGGAGCCATGAGCAAGAGCACGAGAATAAAGATACAAATAGCTTTTGTGATTAGTATTCCCTACTAGTTATGAAAAATAAAGAATACTTTGACACACTATTTGGGTTCCCCCATTTGTAAAATAAAAGAGAAAATTTTCCCTAACCATACTGGATTCGAAGAAAAGAAGGTAAGCCTTTGCTTCCAGAATAGAGTAAGACCAACTACACTATTGATATTGAAATCCCTAACACTTTTAATGTTTTTTTCCGAGTTCAAAGTAAGGCGAACCCATAATACTAATTAAGTAGGCCCATAATGCTAATTAAGTAGGCCCAGGGTTAAAGACGCCGTGGTTCAGAGAGCCACTTTGTAAGCCATACAACCGAAATAAAATCTGTACATCCCTGGAATTTCGTTGCACTTGTTTTTGTCTACCGTTCATGTGTTTATAATAAACCACGAATGCATTGCTCATTATGAACAAGAACGTAGAAGAATTATGATATTTTAAGGCTACATGCATGTCAGTGATTATACGATTAAATGGAATATTAAATTAATGTATTATATTTAATATTTCATATACAGTACAGTCTCTGCAAAGCAACACTCTGTAGTGCAGTCACCTCTTTACAACAACAGTGTCATTACCCCTCTCAATAAATCCAACCTCTGTACAGCAGTCACCTCTTTACAACGACAGTATCATTTTTCCCTCATAGTGAGACTTCTCAATAAATCCAACCTCTGAAGAGCAGTCACCTCTTTACAACGACAGTATCATTTTTCCCTCATAGTAAAACTTCCCTCTGAAGAGCAAAACCTTTCTACAGCTTCTGGAATTCGTCTTCCAAAGGGTGTTGCTTTACTGAGTTTATACTATATACCGAAACTTTAAATAAGATAAATAAGCAGGAGATCTTTTTATATATGTACCTGGTTTTTTTCCGATATAGGCGGGTGTGGTGATATCAAATAACCCTCTTTATTGTCCTGTATGGAACACAAAGTGATAGAACTATTGGTTGTACGTATTCCCTTATTAAATCATAGAATATTTGGTAAAAAACATAAGCATTATGATTTGCAATTTTACAATACATGGTATACGTGTGATTAAGTTTGCATGCAAACATCCATTTAGTTCTTGAAACAGTTATTTCTTCAAGATTTTTACAAAATATAATAATCGGCTGAAATGGATTGAGATTTTATTTCAGAAGTTTACTTCCAAAGCATTACGTTCAAACAGAAAATGTAAAAGGATATGTAGGTTTCGAACTTTGACTATTGACCTACATAATAAGATACAGAGAACAGTTGGTCCAAGGAAAAGACATACTGTGGTATTCGTCAGATATCAGGCTTATTTTAATCAAAGTAATTATGGACTCATATGTAACAATTCAAAAATAACAAAGTTCTCGAAATCTAAAAGGAATCAAAGGTTAGCATGTATAAATAGCTTTGTTGAAATTAATTTATACATTCGGCGTGTTTTGTTAAAAGAAATTGTAGTCAAATGATTATGGAAAGCAATCGGGCGAACATATATTTTAACATGTTCAATTAAACTACGCTATTGATGTAAAATATCCAAGTGAACCTAAACGAATAAAAATCCGATTTCCTATTTCTGCATAAATTCTATGCATTTGAATCTAGGTTTCTCGTGTATTTAAAATTGTGTGTTTTTTTAGGAAAGAGGCAATGAATAAACATATTTGTGATAATTGTTCTTGGCACGCGGTTTCTATACAAGCAGACGATAATAGGGAGTAACTAGGTAAATAATTTGATGTCTGCAAGAAAACATCTGTCAGTATTTCACCTTAGACTGGCATTTCAGAACGGTTCACTGATTGCCCAATACTGAGTAATCATGATCTCTAGATGGGTTTGCAGACGACTAATGGCCGGCGTCTAAAATTATGATATGAATAATGATAAAATCATGATCATGACATAACATGATATAATATGATATGACGTAATTTGGCATAATGCGATATGACGCTGCATTTAGCTCTTTGTAGCATATTATAACAAAACATGTAACAAATTATATACACAGCATAGGCGTGTTGTTAATTTATCTAATATAACGATTATATGTTTTTAGTAGTGTATTCAGATTTTTGCATCTAACTGTTTTTAGATATAATATATGTTTTACTTTTTTATTTATTGTATTTTTCCCAAAGTTTTTTTTAATAAATACTCAACAATTGTTCCAATTTCTTTCTATATACATGTACATTATTTTATAAAGATAATACATACATAAAGCATTTCAATATGTTTAGTCACTTCTTGATAAACATAGGAGAATATTTTTAACTGGCATGTATATACATACAAGAAACATTGAGGATAACTTTTATCTATGTTCAAAGATCTATATATCGCTTTAACCTTTTTCCAAACCAAGAACTTTACGAATGGACTTTGTAACAGACAAGTTATATCTACATATTTTAGAACACAGCATGGCATTACTCACCATGCCTTATCATCTATCACTTTAATCTTTATTCATGTTTCTGATAAAAACAAAAATATTTTAGGAGAAAAAATATAAAGCAGGATCTTCGTTTTGAGTCCATGCTTTAAAATGCTAGATATATACATGTATGTGTTTATTACTCATTAATTCTTATACATATTGAAATGCACCCTTTCGCAAAATTGTAGTACATCATTAAATTACTAAAACAGCAGAAACAAAATTTAGCAAAAATCAAAATCAATTAACATCAAACTTAAATATGTGGAACGAAAAATTCTTCATATTTGAAGTCGGCGTAAAAATATTAGACTTTTATTATGGATCTATATTATAAGGAAATGCCAGTATCATTTAAAAAAAATCCACTTAGAATCTATTCATAAAACTCGTAAAACAAAAAATGATACAGCTACAGAGGTTTAGTCACTCTGCACATGTATATTATTTGTAACGCACGTGCTGTTTCACGCGCCCCTCCTTCACATGTACTGCTTCTAAAACATTACTCGAGCTTTACGTGGCAGTTTTCTTACGATATTACTGTATATATAACTTATATATCGATAAAAGTAAAAATATTCAGGAGTAATACGATTTAAATTTAAATAGCCACTTCTTTCCTATATTAATTATTAATCAAAATTACATACGTTTTCCACTATTTACATGAAAAGTAGGTTATTCTCCCTTTATTTTTTTTCTGTGGCATTAATTGTGTTTAACATACATTTATACATTGCATAAAATATGAATGAAATTCCTATTTGTGGGTACAACATTTTTTTTCTGATTGTTTAAAAAAGGATCTCACAAGGTCATGCAAATATCAGATGTTTATGAAATATTAACCTCAAAAACCGTGTTGTAAAACATATATAATGTGTATGTGTTTATATAGATAACTAAATATATATAAAAAAATCATCATACCTGTTTTTGTTCGACTGGTTATTTTATTCCGTAGTTCCGTAAAATGCGAATTATACCTCTGTTCTAAGACTTCTAGAAGAAGAAAAGCATTCATAGTAAACGCTTGCTATAAACCACGTGGTATTTTGGCATGTAATAAATGCATGCATTACCATGGTAACGTACTTGAGCAGTTGGCACGTGCTTCAAAGTGAAAACACTCTGACAAATCGTAGAAGAAATAATGTTTTCGATTAATAATCAATTAATGGTAGATTTTTTTGTATGAGTATGAGCGTACTATTATTTCTTATATATTATAAAAATTTTAATGAATGTTTTTGAAATAAAGTTAAATGGTTAAATGCTTGTTAAGACTGTACTGTAATAAAGTAAGAAAACTAACCCACATACCTTTAAACTAGTATTTCGGGAAGAGAATGAACGGCCGAAGAAACATGTGTCCTTTTTTTCTATGTTCGCGGCAAAAATGAGACTTGCACAACACGGTTTTGACATATATAAAATGAAATCAAGATAGGAAAAAAACTTATAAATAATTTCTGGACTAATTGAATAGGGAGTGGTCGGGAACTTTATTTAATAAAATTAATATAAAAACAACAGTTATAGAAGCCCTATTGATGCAACCATTTTAATCTAAAAATCAGCGTTCTTTCCATTTTGTATAATTATATATATTTTACCGAAGTATATAATTATATGTGGTATTTTCCCGATATATTATTAAAATGTCAATAGACAAGAGCATGATTACATTTTAAGTTAAGAAAAAAATCTCTTATTGAATAATTTAATTTCTTTGTTAAGGTTTATATCTGGTCTTTATTATGAAAAAATAGTTCGTGGATTTGCCATATACTTTTCAGGTCTCTAATGACAGAAGTTAGATAAGACAGTCCAGTATTCTAGTTTCATAGCATCGTCGGATACCGCCACCGCCGAACCATTAATACAGAAATATGTGTTTATCAACCGTGGGTATCCGACGAAGGTTTCATAGATAACTTATTGTGATTTTATTTGGCATGTACAAGCATTTTTTTTTTAATTTTTTCTTTTGTTTTATTAACTGTGTTAACGACTTGATAAATAAATTAACAAAATAAATAATTGCATAAAAATAAATAAATAAATAAATAAATAAAAACACAATGCCGTACGGTCTTTTTTCTTCACAAGGGAATTCACTGTTGGTGAGTTATTAGAATGTTTGCTCATGATTTATCTCACTTTAATATTGTACATAGATTCTATGTGTTGGTTTTGTTTTCCTTTGGTTGTGTTGTTGTTGTTGTTGTTTTTATTGCTTCTGGTGATTATAGAAGCATTTTACGAACTGGTCAATAAGGTAAAATGATCTGTTTGAATATTATAATTTCAAGTGAACAAGTAAAATAAACATTATAACATTAGACGTACATTTGAACTAAATATATACTTTTATTAAAACCTTTTTACCAAAAGAACGAACTACATCACAAAATTTTACATTATCATTTACAACTTTTAGAATTCGAACTATTAAAAGACAAGAAAATAAATAAAGTTAAAAGATAAAATACTTTAAGGGAGAATACTGCATCAGTTAAGGAAGAAACTCTCTAAAAAGTTGTCTTTCTTTACTCTCTGCATTATTCAATCAGTAAAGAAAGTACATGCTCATTTCGCCCTTCGTAAGGAAGATTTATCGTAATAGATTCCCGGAAGAATTAGATAGTTTAATAAGAAATCCTATAAAAAAAATGTTTTTTTTTTTCTTATAATTCATTTATTATAGAATGAGAATGTCTGACATGGTATGACTTGTTTTCACTTGTTTTTTTTTTAGTTTGAAACTGCGTCAAAAAAGTAAAAAAACAAGTCATGGGATTGTTTGAAATACATATAGTATAATGACATGTTGGGAAGCAAGAAGTTAAGCAGACATAATTGATCGGTATGACCGCATGACTTGTATGAGAAATAACTGTAATAATCCATTTCCGGTTTGAGGTTAACTATCATTCAATGTGGGAGGCGTCAAGACCCTTGTCTCTCTACTTACAAGTTATTACGTGGTTTCGAATAATCTGAACAATAAATTAAGCAATTAGTATATGACATTGAATATGTATACTAGTATGACAATACTATCCTGTTTATACGATACTTTAATGCAAGAGATGCGTGTGGTCACAAATGTGACTTTGCATTGTTAAATGTTGTTACAAATTAGTTCCAGCCTCCATTAATCTCTTCAAAGTATATAACAAAACTCTTTTTCTCTGTTTTGTTTAAAAAAAAAACAACAGAACTTTAAACTTCCGGTGGCTTTAAAGCGTTACCACAGTACGAGCAGCCGACTTTATATAATCGTTTCTATTATAATTGCCGCAAGCATTATAAATACAAATTTAAATACCTTGAAGCAATATCAATTGAAAGCTGTCTTTTTCCCCTCGGTGCGTGGACGTCGCAGAGAAGGCATCGGCATCGCCAGAATATTTGGAGCTTGGCTGATATTTTGCCAAGGACACGATGACTGGTTAAGATCCGAGCGTTGTTGTTGTGCATATAAGGTAAGCCCTGGAGACCAAACTACCACTTCGTCGATGGGCAGTTAAAATTCTATCGCAACCTACGACTCAGTTTGCCGATGTCTTAACTAAAGCCGAGGCGAGTGGCCCTACAAAGTGGACAGGGATGGAAATTAAAGCGTGCCAGGATGCGTGAGGCCCTAGCATAGAAAAGGACGACTTTAAAGGCAGGTTCTTTGCTGGCATAACAGCCCTTTTCAAAGTTCATATCTTTGGCTTATACATCAGATCATGGAAATTGAAAAGATCTAAATTATCACCACTTTGTGCTTTATTATTACCCCTTTAAGTGTATGCCTTGTGACATGTTCGGGGTCCGTACTAAACAGCGAAATCTGCTTTTTTGTGCCCTTGTTAGCGGATGAACCCTCATTAAGCATATAACTCGTTCGTTCGTTCATTCATTCATTCATTTGTTCATTCATCAATTTGAAGGCTTTGATATTTCTATTTTGGAAGTTTGCTTTACTCTGCAAATCGTTAAATTCAAGTTCCGGCTTTAAAAAAGTCGGCGATACCCGTATTCATACATATAGTTTAATGTAGTACGGAGGCTTGAAGTCGAAACAGTTTAAAAAAGGCCTATAAAAGAAAATAATCATATTTTGTCATTTACCACAGAAACACTACAACACTTGAATAGCAGAATAGCATCTTGTTTGCCTCTCTTATTTGTGGAAACTTAAACAGACTCTAGCCTTCCACTATCAAAATGGTGTATGTAGGGTTATTTTTCTTACATTTCTCAAGCAAATGTCGAGTCCCTATTAGAAAATTTAACTTTGTGGATCGTGGAAAAGGATATGTTAAACAAAGAAGACAGTACAACAGTTTTCCATTTATATACTTTTTATTGCACAGCTTTTAAAACACCATACACACACATATATACTATTTCAATGTCACACTTGCTTGAAATAAAATAAAACTGAAAGTTGTGAAATATTTGCATAATCGACTTCATAGATATATGAATTACAGAATGTCCGGAAAAAACATAATTAGTGGCAAGTATTTTGAAAGTTTATATTGTACATATTGCACATTTTGTAATTACTGACATCATTGCATTGCTCAAAAGTTTCGTACATGTACTCTTAAAGGTCATTTTGCAATACCAAAATAGTATATGACTGTCACGTGACACTGATGCTTCTGAGATATTAGCCATAAAACCCCTTTACAAGAAGTTACATATACGAGTATACACCATTTATACCACCACGTTATTGGCTCTCATATCAATACAAATCATAAATATAAATATAGTATATGGGTTGGAACATAATTTTACAAAATAAAAGAATGATAAAAATATACACCCTTAATGCTATATAATAAGACAAAAAATATACAAGTCAAGAAAAAAAGTACGAAACAGAACATATAAATACGTGTATATGAAAACATTTGATAAAAATAGATTGCATATTTCTATTGTCTATGAATAACATAGTCACACTTGTTTAATTCACACGAATAAAAATAGGGAAACGAGGTATGTAAAACGTTTTACCATTCCACTGTTCAAAATTGGTCCGTACGCGTACTTGATTTGCTAAGCCTCTATGTCAACTACTTTTTAAATATCTTTTAAAGGGGTGATCCCTTGGAAGCATTTATCATGACTAAATTACATGAAAATTGCAGACTCGGTTTGATTGAGTCTGTACATGAGGGGTGAAAAAATGCAACATCCCTCACACCCGGCACCGGCTTGAGCGATACTCAATTTCAACACTTAAAATGTTGGAACCAATGATCCTGATGGACAGGGAAAAAATAACAACTTTGAAGTGAAGTATGGGGCAACATTTTACGGCTATCACACGGCACTTGACACAGTTCAAAGCAAGACCATTTCAGCATCTGATAATGACAAAGCAAGACATCCAATCCAACTAAGTCTTGCGCAGTAAATTCAGTTTTTGACTTCTGAATTTATATGTCGATTGGAGAACCAATAAACCGAAAAGGATCATTAAAACAAAGATCATTCTCGTTAATACGCCTATATAATAAATACAGACTCTTTTCTTAAACCTCCAAACAAAAGTCTATAACAACGTATAGTCTTCTTTTTCAAATAATAATTACAATATATGTTTATCAATACGATACTTATCTAATAATAGTATCAGAATTGAACAATTATATAAAATCTTAGTTCGATTGTGTTGGAAGCTATAAGCTTATTAAAACACTCTCGAATCCGTGCCTGGAACCAACCAGTACTACGCAATGAGTGTAAAGTTTCTTGCTCAAGGAAACAACGGCTTACCCTTGATGGGACTTGAACCCACGCGGTCAGACATCTTTAGATTACTAGTCTAAAGCGTTAACAACTCGTCTTAAAGTTTACAACAAAATATGGATGTAAACCGCCTACGAAATACATAAAGATTCTTGATCAGCTATATTGCCCAGTATAAAAGGTATCAGCTTATATGGTCCGAGGCTCTAGGCACAATTCCTTTATTTTTGGAAAAATGAAATAACAGCATAAATCTACAACAGCAGTGAATTTTAGTTATAAAGATTTTTGACATGTTACGTGACCCTATATAAACGGTTGTTTTTATATATTTTCCGAGCCGCTAGGCGAGGAATATATTGCAAATAGCTGTTTATAAACAGTCAAATAACCTTTCAATAATCTTTATAACAAAAAGTATAATGCAGTTAACTTCAGTTATTTAAGAAAAAATAAATGAAATAACTTCATAAATTGACTACAGCCCTGAACCAACAAATGTAGTTTATATACACGCTACGATTATCCAATGAAAATTAGCGTTACAAACGTGCACAATTACAATATATTATGTCAGCATAAGGTATAGGCATTTTCATGTCAAATGGATATTTATGAATAAATATGATCATAATTCATTACAATTCATTCACTCAAACACATATTCTGTAGGCTTGGTACTAAACAAATATGCCTCGAATCTTTGGTTTCAACACAAACTATCCAAAATATAGGCATGCAAATGATAACTACAGTAAAGCAAAAAGAAAGTAGATCAACAGCAGCTGAGATATGGCTATTCTAGCCTTTCCGTACAATATATACTTAATTTAAATCACGGATTTATGTAATATAAATCCGTGTTTAAATATATACGTAATTTAATCACCATTGTTTTGTACCAAGTCACTAGTAACAACTCAGGTATTCATGGACATGGTTAACACTATACAATGTATTAACATTATTTCTATCTGTATGGTCATTTAAAGACATACCAACTATGTACATGTTAATATCACAGATATTTTTGGGCTTTATGGAACGCCACACATGTCTTGTATGGTTTTGTTCCTTCGGTGATCCACGTCAATTAGGCATTGCTTTCTACACATGCTAATCGCTAACTGTGTCAATATAATCTTAAGACATTAGGCGTTCCATAGTCTAAGTAACGTAACATACACTGGAAAACGTTTAATATGTGTTTTCTTATAATCAAACATAATTATTATGTTTGTACTAAACACTTCATTCTCGGGTGATTTGAAAGTGTTAAAAATATGTAAGAGCATCTTTGCAAAAGCAATATGACAGCGTTTAGAATCTGTTAAATCTATCAAACTATGAATTGAAATGTTGGAGGAATAAAAGAAATAATTAAATAATAATATAACTGGAAATTTATAAAACATTCCAAGTATGGCTTATCTTCTTCATTAATTTTTTTCTTGCGCAATCCATAAAAAATAAAATAGCATTTGAGATTCATATCTGTTTAAGACTGTTACAATATGTTCATTTAAAAAACTGCATAAAAATAAAAACGAACAGAACATATAACGATGAATGACAATGCGCTGCGCTTGATTCAACGCTCTGCTTTCTTTCATTATTAAAACCCCGAGTTGTTTGCACGTTGGTATACTCTGGATTCATGGTCTCGCAAAATGGCGGTATTAGCCCCGTAAGCAGGGTGTAAACAAAAGTTGCTGCGCTCGATCCACAATGGCGCTGTGTTGTGTTGGTAAGACAGCTTCTAGCTACAGAGTGAAACCTAAAAAAAATATTAGCATGTGACAATGTTTCTTTAAATTGGTTTTTAAACGTTGAATTTGAATGAGCTTCGTTTGTACACAAATGCGTGAGGGATGATGTAGACAAAATCTTTCTAAAAATTTCTCAATCAAGCATAGCCCGGACCATTTTTTGTGATTCCTATAAAAAACGATATGGACACGTATGCATGCATGCAAAACATTTCATAAAGTTTAAAATCAGTAATATTTTAAGCCGCAATGGCGTTAAAAGCATCGGCATATGACCAAATACCAAATCCTCGTTAATTGGAGATTTATATTTCAATAGTCTTAGAGGGATGGTCAGAATATGGTCGTCATCCATAACTTAGCCATAGTCTTTTGTTAAGCAAAAATTACATCTTTTTTCAAGGGAGAGCACTTGTACTGGAGTCCCTATAACCGGCTCAACGTTTGCTGTAGATTGTTTGCAAGTCATAAACAGTAATTCAGTTTTTCCAAAAAAGCGTTATAAATATATCATCTGTACAGATCAAATTTACGAATCACTGCAAACACTTTAAAAAATGATCAAGTGACGTTATAAGGGTCGTACATCTGTCGTATATTGTACTATTGTTTACAAACCATCTCAAAATCTTGGATTCGGACTGTGAATATCAATGAGGTTCCAATGGTTGGAAACTTAGCCTTGAATATCAGACAGGGTCATCTATTGCATTTACTGGTGCTAGAAAACCCCTTATGTACAAGTCGCGTGTATTAAATTAGGTTATTCCTACATGCCTTTCAAGAATGAATTGGATTCTAATGGCCGTTACAAATATAGTTGTAAAATAATACGCTACTGTAAGAAGAAAATGCAAAATGAAAATATTAGTTTCGTAATTTCTTTCAAAAATATCATTCATTCGTAATATGCAAGAAAAAGAATCAAACAGCGACTGACGACATAGACAGAAATATTTAGCTCTCAGGTAAACTGTTTAGCGGAAACTCGGCACAGCCTTCCTCGTTATCGCACAGTTATCCTAGAGTTAGATATTCTGGTCTGTACCGGCAGCCGGTGTAAGATCCCTTTAATACATTTTCTATTAGCCACACGAGTTAGCGTTTTTGGCCAGATTACATATACCTGTCATTAGAGCCAAACGAGTTTTTCTTGACAAAAAAAAAACAAACACAACCAATGAAAAAATACAACTGCAACCTAATTTCGTTTTATTGGACACTTACCTACATGTTCCCATTATAAGGACGTCCATATTTGCCCCTGCAGTTAATTTGGCTTTAAAATTATCATGAGCATATTTGCTGCAATTTGCTGTTTCTCCGTGATATTGAGAAATACATACCGCTTGCTCTTCGTAAACTGCAATATAAAAACATAAAAAATGTTAAGATGTGGAGATACAGAGTCCCTAAAACTCATTCTATGGGGGTCACGATGTTATGATTTATATGAATTTATTTTAGTTATTGATTTTTCAGAAACACTCTCGAATCCGTTCCTGGAACCAACCAGTACTAAGCAATTAATGTAAAGTTTCTTGCTCAAGGACACAACGGCTTGCCCCTGACGGAGTTTTAACCCATGCGGCCAGCAATCCTTAGATTACTAGTCCGACGGGTTAACCACTCGGCCACGCCATCAATCGATCCAACGAATTGTTATAAGTTTTAAATGAGTTATTATTTCGTTTAAACGAATAAAAATTTAGTTCAAACGAATTATAATCTCGTTTCAACAAATTATTATAATTTCGTTTAAATAAATGATCATAAATTCATTTTGATGAATCACTTTTATTATTATTTCCTTTAACTCTTTTGCTATTACATTTTAACAAATCATTAGTTACTTGAATACATATGGCAGCAAAGTAATAAATATTTATAATGACATTTTAAGGGTCATGTACGAATAGCTCGTCACGACACGTTACGTCATTCTCTTGTAAAATCGATTTTGATTAGGAAATTGAAAGACGCACATGAGTGCAAGTTCTTTACGTTTATCAATAAAAGCAACGTTTTATCAGTCTCAAGAAAACCAGGAAACATAGTATCAGTTTCTCTGATCTCAGTTGAATGATAGGTATTGACAAAGATGCCAACATGATGTACTAAATGTCAGAAACTTTGATATTTTCATTGCTAGGTAAGATACGTTAATATTCAGTGTAAAATCTACAATTTCAAGAACATTTATCTCAATTTTTTATCATCTGTATCTTCACAACACACTCTGAAAATTTTCGAAAGATTAAAATGAAGGTATTTCGCCTCATAATTAGGTTGTTAATGTATGTTTAAACATGTTCATTTTAATAGCTTGATTTTGCTGAACGTTTGAAGCTTATTCTCAGTCTCAAGGACCCTCGACCCACTCCCTTATTGACATCACAACCGCAAGTCCACTGCACCCCTTTCATTGTAAATGCGTTTAAAATACAGCACGATATGGTCGAAGTTTAATGAAACACAGATGGCTTAATAAGTTATCATCATCATCATCATCACCACCACCACCATTAGATAAAAAATATAACAACTGAACAATGTACACGGTATCCAGTTTCACTAACTCTTAATTCAATATGAAATTGAAAAAAGAAGCAGATCTATCTTTCAGATGCAGATCCAACATGTCGTCTATTTATAAATTAATATCCTTATAGCTTGAAATAAAATACCATTTTTATTCTTTGTTCATTATTTTGAAATTGTAAGACAGGAAATGGATTTTGTAACTTAAATGAATTTATGAGAGAATTGAATGACAAAAAGTCGTAATTAGACATTGCAACATCATGGTTGTCTCTTTTTCTAGTTTAGTTATAAAACAAATCAGGCATTGTCTGGCATTTTTCTCATTAAAAGTTGATATGATAAGCCTATTATTCAGTTGAACTAGATTTTCTTTTTAATTAGAGAGATACAATGTTATCAGTAATCGATCTTTTTTTTTTCTGAATCGTTCATCATAAACTTTATTAAATGACATATGTATGATACATCTGGGTTATTTATAGTAACAAGCTGGTATTCAGCGTCTGTGTAGAAACTAGATTGTCAAATATAAGGTACCAAAAAAACCTTAAACTTACAGATTAATGTACACAGATTTGTATTTAATGTAACAGCAGGCCAATATCCCCAAAATTCCCCATATCACATGATTCTCCATTACAAGCTGAACAACGCCCAGAACACAAGACGGAAGATTAAAAAACATTAAAGTACTAACTCTTGCAATAACTTTCAAAAAACAATGGCATACACGTCATATAAAAAGAAAACTAATGAGGCAGATACAGTAGTCTCGCGCTAAGTAGACGGAAAATAGAATCATAATAATTTATACCTTCCATGTGCCTGCAAAAATAGTCGACAGTGCTTACAACTTTGTCTTTGTCTATAAGTCTTTGTAGCGTTTGCTCCGCATCTGTGGTCCCTCGGCAACGATCTAGAATATCTTGTATACAATCGGCCACTTCCGGTAACCTCGAGTCCCTGGGAAACAATATAAAACATGCTTTTAATATTATTAGGAAACAATATTAAAGACAAATGATTAAGTGGATTAACAAATCGTGTCACATAATTATGTAACTTAATTTAAAGTCTCATCAACATTCTGTCACTTGCTGTCAAGTTCTTGACTCTTGAAAGTTGAAATATCAATTTTATCATACCTGTGTACCTATTTTCATCAAACAACAACTTTAAATCACTTGGAATTGCCACACGTTGTTGTTGTAACACATGCTTACAAAGAAGTTACTTTTCCGTGTACCATTTCTTCTATAAGAATATATGCTGGGCGTCAACCCTTATTGTCCATCTGATTAAAATCAGCTCTAAATCAGCTTTTAGATCTGAGCGTGACCATATACGAAGTTATTTCCTATGACTATTCACACAGCCAATCATCGGCGAGCTTTTATTATTTTGCAAGCGATGTGATTTCTAATTTTAACCAATACTGAGGAAGTTATATTCACGTAAACAGGCAAAGCAATCTTGACCATTGAAAATTGACTCTTTTAAAGTAATTTGTTAAAAATCATTTCCAACACTTTTTTTAAAACAAAAATCAACAATTTGTTTAACATCCGCGTTTAACGGTATTTTGATACTTCTTCTAATGCCTATGTAAAAACCGGTTTGATTGCATGGCTAAAAATAGCTTTCTCGGGGAAATCCGAATTATAAAGAAGGCGAAGCATATACTGTCGTCATCAGATCTATATAAAAGAAATAAGTAGATCTGAACTTTAGTCAAATTGCCTGCTTATAGTCTGCTATATTTCTAAAATGAATATGGGAATGTCAAAACGAATTTTTAACGTTAGTTACAGTCACAGGGTGAGAAAAATGTGCAGGCTGACAGGGACTCGAACAAGGTACCCATGGAATACCGTTCCGCGGCTCAACCAACTGAGATATCCGGCTGCTTACACATGTTTTCCCATAAATAGTAAACAGTTCTGAACCGTCACACAACCAACACCATAGAATCCGGTCACACTTTATGGATGTGCAGGCTGACATGGCTCCATTACTGGTGGTAACGTCTGATCTGTTTCGGTCCCAGCAGGTAAAAGGTTAAATCTTTGTTAAACACTTACTTCAGTTGAATTTTGGAACTCCTTTTTTCGTTTAATCATTGAGTAAATATCAAATTGCTTATAAGTTAATCAGTCTGCAGTATAAGGTCTGGTCCAGTTTGACATGTATCATGTGAGCCGCGCCATGACAAAACCAACATAATGAGTTTGCGACCAGCATGGATCCAGACCAGCCTGCGCATCCGCGGAGTCTGATCAGGATCCATGCTGTTCGCTTACAAACCGTATAACAAGTAGCGAAACTGATAGCGAACAGCATGGATCAGACTGCGCGTATACGCAGGCTGGTTAGGATCCATGCTGGACGCAAACCCATTATGATAATCTCCTCATGGAGCGGATCATATTAGTTGGTCAAGGCAATACCACAAGTGCTAATTCACACTTGAGCAGTTGGAACAGGAAGTTGTACGCCTTTGCCACAGAGTCAGGCCAGCCTGCACATCCTACCGTTCAGTCTAAGCAAACTCTATACAATAGGCGGTATCTAAATGTTGAAATCTCTTAACTTTGCCTAATGAATCTTTTCAAATTCTAAATGGGAAAAACACATTTTTTCACAAATTGTTAACGTACTTGCATGTTTCTTTGGCATGTTGTATTTTACTTCTGTCTGTTTCTGTAGTGTGTGATTGTTTGTTAAGGTTTGGAAGCACATTGTCTGTACATTGTTGAACCTTCTCATGGGGATTAGGTGGACACGTCGAGGACTGTTCCGAAAGGGAAACTGAAAAACAAAGAATAATGTTTGAAAATATATACCGAACCGTCTGATTGCTATGCTTTAAAGGCACTCGACCTCCATTGAGGTAAAAAAGCCTAAAAATATATAAAAATATATTTTTTTTATAAATCAAATGTGGCACTTTTTGTCTTTTTTTCATTGAAGAACGATTTTTTGTGCGACTCTTAGTGAGATTAGAGTGAAAGGCGCTGCAACGACTTTCAGTTTGGATCATTTTGTACAATAAAAATAATTTTTCTTGATAAACGGGATGAAGAAATGATCGAAACATTTGCACACAAGTAATTTGTACGAGTATAGATCTACATTGGTTTCCGAATCACGGAAACATATTTCCACTCCCGTCATTCCAAAAGACCTCAGTGGAGTCCCTTTAAGTTTTGAACAGTTAATTCAAAGTTTGAAGTGTTTTCCATTTCAAAAATGAGCTACTAAAAACATAAGGCTTTGTGAATGGAAGTACAGACTGGCCTGGCTCTATACTAGTAGAAAAGTATATTCTCTCTTTGTTCCAACAGGTTAAAGGTTAATCTGAGAACAGTTTCAGAAGCAACACTTTAAAGTTGTTCCACCAAACTTCCATAATATTGCACTGATATTAAATTTTATAGTTAAAAGCAGCACGCCTCCAGAGTCATGCTTATTTTCATGTCAATTTTTAAAATTCTTAAAATGTGTAATATTGCCAAGTTACCAAATAAGAAAGCAATTTACACATTATCAATGGCACTTGCAGCCCACGTAAATCGATTCAAAGAGGTCAAAATATGCAAAAATAGACTTTACTGCTTAAACCGCAGTTGAAATATAGTTATAAATACCGAAAGATCAGTCATTTATCGCAAATAACATTAAAATTATAACTTGAATCTTGAATCGTTTTACTTTTCCTAAAATCTTTGTGCATTTTTCTCAGGTTCGCTGTTATTGAAATTTTAGCTCTTATGGAGGCATGTCGCTTTAAGGAGTTTTAAATACTGATAGAAACTCGGGCAACAACCTATTTATTCCACTTCAAATTCCTTTCATATGAAAAAGATAATACTTTCCATTTGTAAAATAATGTCGCTAGGTCTACTTAGTGTATTTTTTATAAAAGGAAACACTTATTTTTGACCTGATTTAATCAATTCTTTCCTCCAATTACAAGTCTTTGAAACGTTTATACATCTTTTGGGTAATTACAAGTCCTTACAGCTATTACATTATACTTCCGGTTTTAAATTAACACACTCTACTTTGAAGCATCTAAGTACGAACAGGGTTAAATTAATTCCACCTTTGTATACGAATACAGATAAAAAATGTATTAAGTTAACAAGTTATAAAAGCGAAGTAAAACAAAAGGAATAAAAATCAATATAAATTGTTTGTATTTGTAGTCTCCTACAAAATGAATCCCTGTTAGGTTTCAATCTCTTTTATTTATTACAATAACATTCTAAACTATACAAAAGACACAACTTTATTATCTAGAAATACCCCTAGTTACAAACTAAGGTCTTTTATCCCAAAGTGTGTTGCTCTACAAAGGCTGTACTGTATACGTTATTTCATGTATACATGTTAAAATCTATATAAAAAACTTTAGATAAAGTAACATATTTGAGCAAAGTTTGACACTGTGTCAAAGGTCACTATTCAACTAGTACATCAATAATAATTAAGCATTTAAAGCATAAGGAAATTAATACGCCTAAGTCACGTGCTCATTGTCGAATTTCCTACAATTATAATCAAGTTTGCAAAATAATTGTTAGATCTTTATCAAAACTTGAAACCCAGTCCCAGCAAACCGGATAGATCAATATGAATCAATTGATCCATTGATCAATATAAACATACAAAACATATTACATTTCTTCATGATCTTAATAACATGTAACTTATTTAATTGTATTAATTTCATCTTGATTGTGCAGAATGCAAACCAGGTGCGTTATATTACAAATAACATAAAGAATTTAAATTTAACAATATTTTCATGCCATTTAAAAGAACATAAATTTAAACATTATTATGTTTGCCAACCGTTTAATACCGTTTATAGAATAGTTTGCACATAGTCTAAATAAATTCTTTTTATCAATATATTATTATATATTCGGAATAGCATTCGGAGCCTCGTTAAGTTGTTGTTAAATCTTATCAAGTTAAATTCAAAATTCATTTTCATATTCGTCAATGGATTTTATACTAAGTTTAGATTATTTATGATATCTAAAACGTCATGACAGAGTTAAAAGAATTTCTGAAAAACAGACATATAACACACAACTTGGAAAGATTCTTCGAAGGTTTGTATCAGAATGAACTTAAGTGTAAACTTGAGAAATTTGAAGTGAAATATATTAAGCGTGGAATAGAGAACCTTGTTCAGACAATAACACACCTTCTTGTAACTAACGGCCACGACGAAATTGAAAATATCAAAAGAGAATACGAAGATGCATATCCAGGTTTGACTATTCACGAAGAAGATGAAGAAGAAATCTTAAAGGTCGGTAGTATATATGACAAAACAAAGAATGGTTATCCTGACGAGTTCGATTTCATACTGGTTCTTTTCACATTTTATTGCGATTGTATTACGAAGTTCGGATATGCAAAATTCGGATACACCTACGCCCATGAGTATAAGTTCTTGCACCATGTGTTAGATTCTTTACTATCAGATGAACATACAACAAAAAACTTTGTATACAGCGGCACAGAAGAAAGCCACAAGGAGATCCGTTTTGTGAAATATCTGGGCTTATATGGGTCATCTTCAAAACTACGTTTTATGTACAGGAATGGAAATTCAAGTTTCTTCATAAACGTAGACATTGTGTTGGCTGTTAAAAGGATAGATCCATTGATAAAATACCGGCACTTGTCCTCTCAGAGCGATTTCAATGAAGAGCTTGCCAAGACCGGAAGTGTGTTGCACGTGAATGAAAAACTTTCGTTTACGGAAACGGAAGTGTCGTTTGTGAAACATATGTTGTCGGACAAGCACAGAAAGGCCTACAGGATACTGAAATATTTGATTAACGGCAACGGGGACGGGGATATTCTAGACGATGTTATCCGTAGGAATGGCCTCTCAAATGAGAGGATTACATCGCACATGATCCAAACTGAGATTATTCTCCATCACTTCCGGTGCAGTTATAAACCTGATGAAGTGTCCCCTTGCGTCATGGAAATTCTAGAAAGTTTCAAAACCTATGATTCTAACAATAACATTCCTTCTTTGGCACATGCATCCCATATTCCCCATTTCTTCAGAAGTGCTGACAAACAAAAAGCTTTGGAAGATATGTCTGAGACGCTGGACGCCATGAAGACCACACTGAAGCCATATCATTACGATAAAACACAAGTTACTCCAATTGCAGCGTCTCTTCTTCTTTATCCAAAGAGCAGTTACCGGGAAATATACGACACAAAGGCTAGTGATTGGATATGTTGCGCCGGGTCATATTGTTTGATAATAGTTCAAGCACTGTTTGCGATATCTATGTTTAGCATTTTTTTAACGGCTTGGATACACTTTATGTAAAATACAATGAGAAACTATGAGACGTGTTCTTGTTAAGGAATCACATAATGCCATTGATAATTCTGATAAAAAAGCAGTGTAAACGTTGTGTTAGTATCTTTTTTTAGCCTTTTTCGCCCAGCAGACTAAAAGTACCACATGGCACAAATCAGCCACCATACTAATTAGATAATATTTTTAGCAATGTGTATGATTTCTTATGCAACCTACTTTATGTGTAATTCCAATGTTTGAAATACATTCGTCATCAGTATTAGTCACTACAGTGTTGTGTTTTTATCCTCATTTTCAGGATATCACGAGCTTAAAAGGTTATCACTAAAATTGAAATGTGTCAACTTCCATGGAAAGATTTAAAAAAATTCCGGCCAATCCTTATATCAAATACGAGCAGCATTGGAATAGAAAAATCAAAAGAGTAGTAATGACTTTGAATTGTGTAAGGAAATAATTGTTGAGGACGAATTTCATTTTGTCAGGAAATGTGATATTTATAGATACAAATATCCAGTATTTTTCAATCCTTTTATATCATGATGACGTGTGCATGATATATGCATTTGTTAATTTTGCCCTGTTTGCAGTACAGAAAAACAGACCCACGCGCAAAATTTTAGAAAATTACGTAAGCTATCACAATTATAAACCAGAGAATCATGACAGGTTTGCACCCAGTACCCCGACATCTGGTTATACCAACCTCACAGTAAAATGACCATGGAATTTAATATCAATTTTACATATCTATTTACTCAAGTTCCAAGAATAAATACGAAATCAATGGACAATGCTATGACAGTGTTTTAATTATTGACTTCTGATTCTAGTTGTACCACTTTTAACCAACTTGAACCAATTTGTCACGCGGCTTATGTCATGGACTTCAATGAAAATTCTACGAAAGCATAGTAAATAAAAAAAAACAAGAAAAAAACCCATGTTTTCTAAAATTTCAAAAGCATTCCAAACCCTTTTTTCCGTTATTTTTTATAAAAATAAAAAAGAGATTAGGACACATTATTTTTATATTTTTTTACATCTAATTTCACTCTTTGAAAAGTAGATAGGTCTACAATGGGCACATTTGCTATAAGTTTTTCAAATATTGATAAAACAATAGAAATGTATCATTTAGATAATATTCGATTTATCCGCTAGAGGATTAAATCTTTTATTCAAATCTTACAACTTAACATTTTTTTATTATAACACCCCAGTAGGGCCTCAAGAAGAGTTGTCAAGGGAGACAACTTACACTTGAATATGTCATATATAAGGCAGAGCAAATTCTGGGAACGGTCTTTCAATCGTGGCTCACCATAGAAGAGGTAGACTAGTTTATCTTCGTTAAAAAAATCTAAAATTTACATTTCAAATCTTGAATATCAACGAATATTATTTAGAATCGCACAGGAGATTAAGATACATTTTACATTTCTGCTCATTATTATTTGTTTTAATATTTGGGGTTTATTAGATAAGAACTTTGACCAGATCTAATAACCACGTGGTGATGACCAGCTGTTGTTCTCGTGAAGGACAGTAGTCAAAAAAAATCAATTTTGGATGCCTTGATTACACTAAATATATTTCAAAGTCAATCGGCTTCTTTGAAATATTTAGTAAATAAATAAAAAATTGGATTTAAATCTAGATCTTGAGTTTAAAACATAGATTCTATATTTATATGATGTTTCAGCACGTGATCTATACTTAAAATCTAGAGCATTATCTGATGAATCAATAAATGAGAATAGCTTTAAAACGGTTAAAAATACAATTAATTGATTATATGGCTCGATTATGACAGGTCATGTTTTACAACGGGAAAATTATCAGTTTCATTGAATCCACGCGCGTGACATCATACAGGTCTATGACGTCATTTCATTGAGGCTAAGAAAATAAAGATAAGAGTAAATAGAATCTAAATATATAAAGTAGGAAATAAATAAAATAAGTTGATAATAATAATAATAATTTAATTAGATCTACACAAATTTATTTAATTCATTTATTTATATTATTTTATTTTTCGACAATGCTAAAACATCGACAACAACGTGGCCATACACGAGACACGCTCCAACAGCAAGTCAATAATAGGAGGAACATTCGGACGTCTGTTTCTACAGCCATGCCTCCAGCTGACAGACCTGTAAGGGAGCTCTGTGAAGAAAACGAAATGTATGGCCAATCCGGACCTCCGGTAGATGTTGATCTTCATCAGCAAGAGACAAATAAAGGTGAAGTTAAAAAATATCATGATAAATACTTGTTCCGGTACAATGCTAGGCGCACATGTATCTGTCAGTACTAAAGATAAAATATGGAACAATCGATTTGTAGAGTTTAGTTACACACTTTGTTGCCAAAGAAAAATATGTTAGAAAATATAAAATAAACAAAAGATTCAACTTGTTGACGGGGAACTTATAATGAGTACCCAAGAGCAAATTCCGAAACAAATAAAAAAGTCCTATTACAATATTTTGCAAACATTCGTTTAGCGGCATCAAGAAATGTCGGATGGTTTGAGTATGACAGGTAATTTAGGCTTAAAACATTAATCGATTTGGGTATAAAGCGGCAAAATATTGACTCAGAATTGTGGATGATATATATGCAGCCTATTCAGTCTTTGAACCAGCCCGCACTTCTAAATATTCAAAAAATGTTATGACTTTAATAACAAAGGCTTTTGTACAAATAGATCATGTACTTACAAACACGTTTGCATCAAATGCTTTGGTAACCACCCTTCAATACACTGTTATGCAAATAAACAAACAGCGCAATTCAAACCGCGTTATGTATTTAGATTGCCAGCTCAAAGAGTGCCTATGGGACCTGGGGTTTTCACCAATTAATATCTAGGTTCTCGCTGATAAACTCTTTCAATGCTCAAATAAGGATGATGCCAATTACATTTTACAAGGAGTCAGCACTGGTTTTAAACTCGAATATACGGGACCAAGAATCCCTATTTTTTTTCCAAATATCTCAAATCGGCAATTGATCAAAAATGCTTATTAAGTAAAAAACTTCACGACCAATTTATACTTGGGCGAATCCTAGGACAGTTAGAAAAAGGCCAATTACTAATCTGAGAATAAATCCCGTAGGTCTCGTACCAAAACAAAATGGAACTTTCAGCTTTCATACCCACCAGGCAAAGTATAAATGAATTTATCGATCCTGAATTTTGCCATGTTCAATATTCACAATTCGAAAATGCAGTAAGAATAGTTCAAGAAATAGGGGGTTCTGCTTTTATGGCAAAAGCTGACATTTCTTCTGCATTTAATTTATGCCCTATATGGCCAGGTGATTTTGATTTATTAGGTATAAAAACCGAGGAGGGATATTGGATTCAAAAAATGCTGCCACAAGGCGCATCATGTTCATGTTTTATTTTTGAAAAATTTTCAAAGTTTTTTACAATGGCTTGTGTCTAAAGAATCAAAATCATACTACATTTACCACCTACTAGATGATTTTTATGGAAGAAAAATCTTTTGAAAAATGCTTGAATTTAATGCGAACATTTGATAAAATTTGCAATGAACTTGGGTGTCCCCCTTAGTGTCGAAAAATGGATGGGACCTGTTATAACTATAACATACCTGTGTCTTGAAATTGATTCAATCAACAAAATGGTTGAGGTGCCTTTAGAAAAAATAAGGAAAGCGAAAACAATCTCGTTTGGGTGAGAAACGCTAAAAAGATCAAAGACTTACTTGTCATCAGTCGTTGGTCTATTTAATTTTATATCGAAAGCTATTCCCAGTGGCACGTTTTTATGGCGCCATGTCGTATGTAAAGAAACCGTTCCATTTTATTAGTCAACCAAGGCATGAAAGAAGATGCATATATTTGGCTAACATTTTTTTGAAAAATTCAATGGTTATGTTATGTTTACAGAAAAAAAAATAGGTAGATAACTGCCATTTAGAACTATATATAACGGAATATATTGCATACATGTCTTTACGTCAATACTCATTTTCAACAGTAGCTGTTCACGTTTCAACAATAAGTTATTTTAATAAAATAAACAATTTGGTTGACAATACAAAACAATTCATAGTCAATAGTATGCTAGAAGGGTTCCATAGATAATCGAAAAGGCATGACACAAGACACCCGATAACACAAAATGTACTGATACAGCTTTTATCAGCCCTACCTAACGCTTGCAGATCACAATATGAGTGTTTTATGTTTTCTGATGCTTTCTGTCTTGCCTACATAGGTCTGTTAAGAATAAGCGAATTTGCATTGCCTTCAAAGAAATAAAAAAAAGGTAGTTTTAAATGTAGATGATGTAACGATCAATCAAAATCTCATTAGACTGTATTTTAGATGTCCAAAAACGGACCAGAGATATGTCGGATGTTCTATTGATATTCCGATAACTGACCAAACTCTGTTATGAAAAACTGAAAGAGTTCTTACATTTTAGAAGTAACGTGCAAGGGCCGTTATTCTGCCATTTCGATGGAAGTCCCTTAACATCCTTTCAATTCAATTCAGTATTAAAAAGGACTTTGAACTCGATAGGTCAGAAAAAAAAATGTATTTAAAGCACACTCTTTTCGAATCGGCGGGGCTTCTAATATGTTCCGTGAGGGTTGTGCTATCAATGATATAAATTACAGAGTCCGTTGGCGATCTTACGCTTATAAATCCTACATCCGATCATTTTATAATATTTTATGGAAAAAACTTATTTTTTTAGGATCTGCCAAAATGGCTGTAATGTGAATGCCGGCGATCCGAAATTTGGCTATTTAAATGAAGTACGTATTTGTATTAAGAAACCGTTACCGGGTCTTAATGCACATTAATGTATTAAGAAGAGCAATTTATGCTGTTGTAATAAAAAGATATTATATATATTGGCATTATGTGCCTGGCATTATGTGCCTGATATTGTTTTTTTGAATGTGTTAATGTATAACAAGCAGTTGGCATTATGTGCCTGACATTATGTGTCTTTAATAATTTATAACACCCAGTTGGCATTATGTGCCTGACATTATGTGTCTTTAATAATCTATAACACCCATTTGGCATTATGTGCCTGACATTATGTGTCTTTAATAATTTATAACACCCAGTTGGCATTATGTGCCTGACACTATGTGTCTTTAATAATCTATAACACCCAGTTGGCATTATGTGCCTGACATGTGTTTTGATAACATTACTTGATAATTATATATATTAAATGGATAGGTAATATATAATCAAACTTATTTCAGCCTGTAAAATATCGGATGTTTGGATTATAGGCTCTTCAATTATTAGGGATGTCTTTCAATTTCTAGGTTATAATGTTATATGGGAATATCAGGGGGGGGGGGGGGGGGGGGCATGAAAGTTTCTGATTTAAAACCTTCGATAGAATACTTGCTTAAGTTTAAAAATGCGCCAAAATTTTTGATAATACACTGTGGCGGGAACGATTTAGGAAATCGACCTTCAGTTGAAATCATATGGAACATCAAAAACTTTATAACAGGGACTTTACTGGAAATAATGGCTGTTACGAAAATAATTTGGTCTCAGATATTACCAAGAAGGTCATGGAGATATGTCCAATGTAACAAAACTGCAAATAAAACCCGCATGCGTATAAATAGTTGTATCAGTACATTTGTTATTAAACTCAGGGGTTATTATATTCGTTACCCTGATTGACCTTTTCGAGGACCTAGCTGGGCGCCGTTTTCCGGTGCGTTGCCGTTTTAGCTCTGGGGAATTACACCAAATGAAGTACATAACAGAGTTACGAGATATTTCTATTTTTCTATCATTATTTAACCGTTTAAGGTAAAAAAAAATTGATGTTTTTAAAAATTATCAATATTCGTTTAATATCTATTGCAAATTATTCAAAAAAAAAATTGTTTATTATGAAATCAATAAAATTCAAACAGACGTAGTGGAATCTTCCATAATAAATAAGGTTATTTTCTGCGTAAACTTGTGTATTTACTTTATTTTTTTGTATGGAATTATTCATACAATGATATTTAATTATTTTCTTATAAATTAATTTCTTATAAAGAAAAAACTGTTTTATTTCAATTTAATTTTTTTTTTTTTTAAAAAAAGGCCGAAAACATTGAGTTCGCTATTACACTCCGTGAATATTACAGAAAACCCTAGGTTGTATAGGCCGGATGGCACACATCTGTCGGACTTTGGTAACCACGTTTTTATTGAATACAATATCGGGCGCTCTCAACACATTCACGTCCATGGCTTGGTAGGGAAATTTTTTAGCTGTGGTAGCCCGCTTTGGCGGAAGCCCACAGTCAAATGTTTCACTTTGCTTGTGGGCTTTTTGGCATGTGCTACCACGTTTTTGCAACCGTTGCCGGGGCAAAAACAGTTATAGTAAAGACATTTAGTAGTCTTAAATCGAAACACATAGACATTTCAATAGGTTAAATAATTAAAATGCTTTTATCCAGCCATGGCCATTTTCATGCCAACACGTTTTTATTAATAAATACTAGTACGTTTTTTAGACTGATTTCTCTTTTCTTTTATTCCAAGTTGTAATGTTTGAATAATATTCGATTTATCCGCTAGAGGATTAAATCTTTTATTCAAATCTTACAACTTAACATTTTTTTATTATAACACCCCAGTAGGGCCTCAAGAAGAGTTGTCAAGGGAGACAACTTACACTTGAATATGTCATATATAAGGCAGAGCAAATTCTGGGAACGGTCTTTCAATCGTGGCTCACCATAGAAGAGGTAGACTAGTTTATCTTCGTTAAAAAAATCTAAAATTTACATTTCAAATCTTGAATCCCACCACAAACCCACCGTTCAATTTCATTGTTTTTCTTTGTTTTTGCTTTCTTCCTTTATATTTTCAGATAACACTATATTAGCACGTCATGGCTGGAACAGAAAGATATAGAAAAAGGAGAATGCTTATAATTCTCAGCGACCGTTATCGGAGCTGATCAATTTGTAAAACAGACATGTAAAGTGAATTCATCATCTGTACCTGTGTACCTTGAGTTGAAGCATGTGCTACCACGTTTTTGCAACCGTTGCCGGGGCAAAAACAGTTATAGTAAAGACATTTAGTAGTCTTAAATCGAAACACATAGACATTTCAATAGGTTAAATAATTAAAATGCTTTTATCCAGCCATGGCCATTTTCATGCCAACACGTTTTTATTAATAAATACTAGTACGTTTTTTAGACTGATTTCTCTTTTCTTTTATTCCAAGTTGTAATGTTTGAATAATTATGCTTATAATATATTTCTTGTAAAAAATGTTGGCAAGGTCCTTAGAGATTTAGAATAAATATTTATATATTTTGTGTATTTAGATGAAGAATAATATTTTGTTCAAGGACATTTTATTATCAGATATATATGTAACATCGGATCATGTAATAACACTTGCCAACAACATGCGTATAATATTATAATTCTTTGGCTGTCTTTTGTTATGCCAAATACTCTGTATAAAGACCCTCCAATATAGACCAATTCACTAGATCCTTTTAAAGGTTTTTACAACAGATGATCCTGTTTAAGGTAGAACACATTAACAACTTCTGAGCGTTAAAAAGTTGATGATAATAAGTAACATAAAGATCGCTAGTAACTTATGAAATGTAGTAGATCAATGCCCCTCTGTCTTTTTCCTTAAATAACAAGACATTCGTAATAAACAGACTTGTTGACTGCAAAATAAAAACATGATTTTCCGGTTAATTTACTTCTTAAGTACATAACATACTGCCATGACTGAAAACGGATGTTTCGTAATAATCCGCTGTTTACAAACATCGTTTAATTAATGTTTGAAAGTGTTATCAAGTAAAATACAAATCTGTATTATAGGTAAGTTTGTTTATTTTAATTTATAAACTGTATGACTAAGAATCTTCAATGTTATTTTGTCCCATGTCATGATTTTAGGATACAAGAATCATTTTTTTGCAGCATCTAAATTTTCTGAGATACCTTGCAGGTCTGTATTTATGAAATCGGACAGTGTTAAAAAAACTACAATTTATGGTGGCTGATTTGTGCCATTTCGATTTTCGCTTCGCGGGGCGCCACATGACAACACGACAGAGAAACCACCTTGTCGTTATCGCTTGGCGAAAGTACGATAAGTTGTCACTGTGTCGTACTTTCGTCTGGTGTCCCGTGGAGCGAAAGACGACCGCACGAAATTACAACAAAGTTATGACTTTGTATATTTTACTTTAAGTTTCTTTTTGTACTTTGTGACACTATGCATTTATTTATTTATTTGTTGTTGTTGTTTTTTTTTGGTGGGGGGGGGGGGTCTATCGACGGCACTGAAAACATTTTTCAATTTTACATATATACGTATTGTCAAGTGTGCACTTTTTTCCTAACTTATAATCATTGACAATTTCCTTAAAAATGCTCACGTTGATCATTATTTTAGTGTAAATAAACTTTGTCCAGTAACCTTCATAGAATTATCTGCGTTTTCGGTGCAGCGCAGCAGTAAATAATACCCGATTACAATTATTGATAAATATTCTACATGTGGATATAAAATGGAACATTAGTGTCATTTATAAAGTCTTTAGATAATAATAAAATGCCGTCATCTAATATTTTATATTCGTTGAGGGACCATACTTTAGGTGTATTATTACCATTTTATTGGAGACATTGTCTGAAATAAATCAAATAATAAAAACGTCTGGTGGCGATTGGTTGTTATTGTAAATTATCCGTTTTATGCCATTTGTTTTATTCATCACACTTTGTGTTATTAACTATATTGCTGTCTTTTATAAAACATGTTTATGTTTTTATATATGTTTTATCAAACGCCAATGGTAAAGAGCAAAACAAATTTATATACATTTACAAGCCTTTTCTGCATACAATACAAATTGTAGCCGCTACTCGCATCAAGATATATACACTTAACAATTTACCGAGTATTTTATTAATGAAATTTATCTGATCCGCTGTTTTTAATTAAAAAAAATCCAAAAACTTGTGTCTCTTATTACCCCCTTGATTCTATATAGATCACTTAAAATACGTTGAGATGCCCTTTAAAACTTTTTTTGAGACTGCAAGAAAAGTTTCTGAGCATTTGCACAAACGTTCGGTGTTCCGTTAGGGTCAGTGCGTTTTCTCCGAAAACGAAAGGCGCAAAGTACGATGATGCCAATACGACAGTACGATGGCGAAGCATGACAGTACGATGGTGACAGTACGACAGTGCGATGGCAAAGCTCCATCGTACTGTCGTATTGTCACCATTGCATTGTGGTACTCCACGCTGTTCGTTCTCAGTGAAAACACGCTAGGTCCAACGGAACACCGTATAAACGAACACATAGTTACACTGATAGAAAAAATAAACCACTTTCAGGGAAAAGCAAAAACGTCAATAAAATTTGATTTCAAAGAGTGTTCAAAGCTTACTATATAAATATAACATAAAGGGTTTTCGTGATGTTTTGTTTATTTATGAATGTTTTATTATGTAAATACGTCCCTTGTGTGGTCTACCTATTATACCGGTATAACAATATCATAAAATACAAGAAAAATAAAAAACAGAAAATAATAGCTAGCACATGTCTTTATATATACAAAGTTAATAGTCAAGATATTAAATCAAATGAAACTGTGGCCGTTGGTTGTAAATACATCTAATCCGCAAGTACAATAATTCAAAATGCAGTATGATTTTTTTTCGTCTGAGTGAATGTCTGCTGCTTACAAAAAGACACGATGTATAGAGAAGGAAAACTGTCGGTTCAAATCCACTGTCCCGGTATAAATGCACGTTCTAGGCAATCGTGGGATGCCTAAAATACTGCGTTATTAATAAGCAATTGATAAATTACATAGGATTTTGCATGGGGGACCTACTGTGGTACCAACTGTTGGGTTTTGTTATCGTAATCAAGGTATGCAATTATGATCAAAGGTGCGCTCAACATAAAATGTTTGAAAAGATAGAATTAACAAGAAATATCAGTTGACGAATTTTTCGGACAAGCCTGGTATATAGTAATTAAACATACTCAAAAATGATTGAAATGAACAATGTACAAAGTTAACTCGTAATGCATGATCATCAGAATTTCTGATTATTCAAAGGGTGTGCGATCTTAAATGATACGCCGACAAAACACTTGTTTATATTGGCAATATACAATGTAGATAATTAACGTTTGATAGTCATTTCCCTGTGGAATCAATGTTATCAGTTATTTCCTTTTTCTTTCGTTATGGTTCTCCAAGTTTCAGAGATCAAAATAAAACGCATGCACTATATCTTAGATATGTTATAGGGACAAAGTGATGATGTAACGAAACATATGAATATGGAAGGTCTTTCTAAGATATGAAAACAGAAAATTATGATCTTAAAGAAGACACATTTTTTCACTAAAAATGTGTGTAGATGAAAATGTGTAAATGTCTGTACGACATTTGTGTATATGTTTTAAATGGCATGCACATTATAGGTGCGCAATTGTGAAAATATCTTTCCTCTAATAAATTTTGTCAAAAACTGTCATACAAGCACATTATTCTGTAAACAAATAATATGTGTCAATGTAATGTCTGATCAGGATAATTATAATATTCAATTCTATTTGAAAGACCCTTGCTGATAAAGCTGTACCAAAAATAAACAAGGCAAAAATATCATTGCGCTTGTTTTAAAATCAATGAATCAATTAGAAAATGTACCTTTGCGAACGGTTTCATTAAAGTAATACAAATATATCTTAGACCACAGCTGTTTTCTCTCGGCCAATCAGAGAGGTTTAAAAGTATTTGATATATCCCACACATCACAGCAAAGTGTTTGATTTAACTATCATGTTTGTATTCAATTGAATGGAAAAACCCGTTATGTGCACGCTTTATGAGGGGAAAATTTCTATGTACATTTTAAAGTAAATAGTTGAAATACCTCTTTTAAAAAAAACTAACAGATAGCAATAGTCCTTAAATCAATTTATTTCGACATTTCATCATTTTACAAAAAATAGTTACTGTATTTGTAAATAAGAACAAACTAGCAATACTGAAGTGAAATGCGTTTATCTATCTATTTAAATCTATATATGTATCGGAATTTTACGACGGCTTTTGTGCTAATATTTTCAGGCACTGTGGTTTTTATTTGTTTAGGTCGTCAGACCAAACAAATAAGGGTAGCGAAATTTCAGACTCTAATGCTGTTAATTGCAAGTGCCGAAAGTAGTCCGCTTTTTGAAGCGGTTACTTCCCTTTATTTGTAACACTTAGGCCGAAAAATTTAGGGGAGATCACTGCGTAAATATGGTAACATGACAGGCGGATTAATTTTCAAGCAAAATAATTCCCGAATGGTCGAATATTTCTAATATTGTTTTATTCCTTATAGATATACATGCTTATAGTAAGCGCCATGATTATTTACACAAGTGTTAAACAACAGTTAGCGTCGTTACAAACCCTAACTAGAATACAAAATGTAATATGGTTTTCTTCAGGCCATTAACATATAAATTTACCGTGGTCGATGCTTAGGAAGCGAGAGGTCTGGAGTTCAAATCCCAGTTAAGGCAACATTTTTTTCAAATTGTTTAAGTCAAATAAACATTGGATCGAATATCAGTGTTGCAATTAGTCTTGTAGCCATTCTACTACAATTAAAACGCTGGAAAGCGATGGTGGCACTATACAAAAACAAATTGTTTTATAATCTCACAACCTTCACCTTTCTGACATCCTGAGAACCAAACAAATTCAGCGCCTTCTGTGCTTTGATTAATAATCGCATCCTGAATTATGGCTGGATCACTCTTAATAGCAGACACTGTATATGTACATTCATTTACTGGTTTGGGAAGAGGGGATTCCACTGATGGACAAGGGGGTGGAGTTTCCGAACGGTGACTGGGCTGCTGTTGCAATGCTAGGGAAATTCTATGCTTTAAGGCTTCAGAGGGACGTTTGTAATATTTTTTCAGTTCATGAATGAAGTAGAAAAGTCAATGCAGGATGTATATAAAGCATAATATGAATAAACGAATCTATACATCAAGTAAAATATTTTCAACTTCAGCTTGAAAACCAATAAATATCCCGAACCCTAGGGCTGTTTAAGCATTAAATGAAAACGTTTAATGAAAGTTACCTGCCCGTTTCTCCAATGAGCCAACTCTTGATAAGTAGCCAT